GAAAGGGGGAGGAGAAGGGGAAAATGAGTAAACATTGTGTCCTCTGTTCAATGGATTGATTTATTTCGCTAAAATGCTGACAACAGTGAGCGGTGCAGCACTGGGCAGACCTCAGTGGGACTCTGAAACTGGGTTTTGAGTTCACAGCCAGCTGGAAGGTTCACAAACCATTAACAAGGCCCATGATTACTCATCTATTATGGATCTGATGGAGTAAGACATGGAACATTCACAGCCAAACAAGATATTAGAAAATCTTGCACAGTTATACTTACCAACAAAACACAAAAGTATCAAAGTTTGCAGATGAAGTCTTTGAGTTACCATATTAAGCTCTTTCTGGCGCTACTGGTGGACAGTGTCCCTCTAACTTTCGCTTTCTGTGAAGTTGTCTTGCCAGGAATAAAAAAAAAACAGGAGTTGTTGAGATGACTTCAGGACCACGGACAGCGCCTCTCCTCGGCAGATGGGCGCGCAGGTAACTTTCCACTAAAAATCCCAAACTCTCTGGTTAAAAAAAAAAGCAGGATTTCAAACTACAAACGGTATAAAAGAGTTGTAGAAACGAGGCTGTGAGGTATCTACGTGCTCATCTATGGGCAGAGGTCTTCCAGTAACACCCTAACTCGCCATTCAAAATCTATCTAGACATAACTAACTACATTATTCCCTCCGCTCGGTGAAATAAGTCCGTGATGTGGAACAGTCCCTGGTCCACAACTGCTGTCATTCAGTCCAAATCCATCCAGAAAGCACAAGAAGAAAAAGAAAACAAGCGAATAGGAGGAACCTGTGGATTCTCACAAGCCGATTTAGTCACTTACTGTTGCGAGATGTGGAGCCTTGTTCACTCACGAACAGCAAAAGCAATGATACCGGTTCCCTTATTTCACCTCTCAAAGAATAACACTATTGATTGTTTGAAGTCTATTTCCTCCATTAAAGATGACTGATGACATTTCCCAGCCGCGGCTCACTGCCTTTGTTTTCCAGCAGTCACTTAGAGCTGGCAGCGCCGGGGCTTTGATACGCATGCGTGAGTCACTCCCTCCTACACTACAATGTGCATGACCATAATTTACTGTCATTTGGGAAGGCCTGACCAACTCACGATGCAGCCTGTTTGCATTTGCTTTTGACTGCCGGAGCTATACAAACAAAACCCAGCGTCTCAGTATCTACAAACCAAATACAAATCAGTTTTCAGCTTAAGAACAACAATGAGACAACTCTCAAACACTCTTTTTTTGTCATGTGTTATATAATCGTGTTTAGCAGCTGCTAGCAGAGCCCTTTCATTTTATTTATTACACATCACTACTGCATTATGCCTACTTCCCAAGTCTTAGACCACGGACGACATTAGGACCAGTTTCTAGAAGATATAGTGGTTCAACTGCAGTCTTTCTGTAGTACAACATGTTGTAGCCACAAGTTTACAACATTAGAGACATACAGGTTTACAAAGTGTATATACTATACACAATATGCATGCAAATGTACTTTTATCTACACATAAAGAATCAAACAGTTTATCACATGCCCGAATCCGTACTTTGAAATCATATAAATGCCAAGCACACACACAGGCCAATCTATATCTTGAGCGTACTGCAGCAATGGAGCTGATAAAATACTGTGCAGGACACAACTCACTAATCTAATGATCTTCTATCCTCTGGAGTTTAGCCTTAAAAGGGCCTGACCTTTTCTGCAATATTCAGTCTATATTTGGGTACAAACTGGTCCATGCTGCATGACTGGGCTCCAGCAACAATTGGTCTCTCTTTTCTTCTCATCTTTGATTGCCTTTTCTTTAATCATTTAAAGGATATACAATGTAATATCTGAAATATTTTTTACTAATTCAGTTGCAATGATTCAGTGATCCGGGTAGAAAAAGAAAGAACCTTATTTCTGTCCATCACACCAACACAACCTGCCGCAGAGAGGACTGAAGTGACTGCTGAACAGTGTAATTATATCACCTTTTTTTCTCTCACTGAAAGCTGCAGTGATTTGACTCTCTTGTAAAAGGCTGAAAGATGTGACGAGAATGCAATAAAATGGCCAACAGACTGAATCCACTTTTTGCCTTTTCCCCATCTTTCTCATTGTCTCTGTAGATCTGTGGTTCATCCAATATGAATATCTTTTCTTGGCTATTACACATCCATTATTTGTTTTAATCTTTATGTATTCCATTGGACATGAAAAGGGTTATATGCTGAAATTGTTTTATATAATCTGTTTGATTTGCTCACACGAAAGAAAATCTACTTATCCGGCTTCTAAATTCAACAGAATATAGGGTCATGATATCAAATATTGATAAGTAATTCCATCAGTATTATGATAATTATATGCAAACATACGTCTCTAAACTTGAGATATGCTGTTTCTACATTTTGATCTTTATGTCACAAACTAAATTCTTTTCTTTCATCTCAAATGTTTCCGAGACCAAGACCAAGAAATCAGGATTACTGTCATGTTTGATTTTGTTATCTGCCAACTCCATGAAAGAACAAAACATGTTGAGATCAACCCGTGACACAACATCCTCAGGACTGAAAGATGATAATCTCACTGTGACATCACAGCATTTAATCTTGCATTGTTGCCATTGTGTCTGGAGTAACGAGCGGATTACTCCAGAGGAGAACAAGAATCAAGGGTTTTAGAATGTCAGCATTATTTATTTCTTTTAAAAGGGCACATGTGAAGTAATAAAAAGGGAAAAACTGTAAATTTCTGTTTTGTAAACATCAAAATAAGTATGCTTTGAGTGCATGTTGTGTTAGAGCTGTAAAACACTGAAACTGAGTGAATCCACTGGTTTACGCGGTAATGCTTAGTAGTTGTTGCAGATTTTAATGTAAAAAGAACAGCAAAGAGGAAGCTGAGTGCACTCTCGTGTTGCTGTCAGCATCAGCAGTAGGCTGGCACTCTGAGGAGCAGACTAAATATGGCAGGCCTGGTTGAACCACATCCTGCAGATAAGGAAACCATAGCAACAGTAATGCAGTGCCATGGTGACGACAGGAGGCCTGCTTAGCGACAGCCCTGCAGACTCAGGAAGACAACAAGCCTCAAACCCAGCTCTCATTTTCACAGGCATCCTATGTGTTTGATTTACTTTCTAGAAAAAGAAAGGGGTGAATAAATAATGTTTTTACTCTTTAGGTGTTGCTTTCTTTTCAGGTCAAAGGGCTTTCACAGAAGGGTGCACGAATGTGATGAATACAGCACATTTTGAGTAACTCCAAAACAAGAAAGCAAGAGGACAGTTTTGTGTGGTGAATTTCAGCCAAACATAGTTTATATAAGGGAGTGAGTAATTTCAGTCTCTTTGTGTATAAATAAGTGGGTTAGAGAGAGAGTGTGTTTTGCACATGTATGTACTCTATACATCTGAGTGTGTGTGTGCGAACGTCCCCTTGAGGATGTTGAAGAGAGCAGATTTCTAGGGATTTGGAAGGATTTCAAGATTATAACATGATTACAGCAGACAGCCATGGATGAAACATGTTGGAAATTGAGATGTAAATCTCATGTGCAGCTTAGAAAAACCTCTTAATGCTGGAATGTGGACAGTATAAGAAGGACTTTACTTATCTCTCTAAACATCTATAATCATCCGTTCCATCCAGCTGTATCTATACATCAAGCACTCTACTCAATATGTGTGAAATATCTTTGGATTAGGAAATTATGGCGTGTGTATACTGTATATGTACATATTTATGTGCATATACTCACACCAACATTACACAAAAACAGTGTTCCTAAAATAACTCCCATGTTGATCAAAACAACTAGAGCAAACATAATGTTATGCCACTGAAAATCACCAAACAAAGACATACACACACATGGCTCCAGAGCAGCTCAGCATGGAGTTATATGATGCCATGTCCCATTGTGAGGCAGACACACAGACCAGGGCAGTGGCACATAGCAGCTAATCTAATTGATAAGGCATATAATCTCAGGGAGCCACTGAAAGATACACCGCTTATGCACAAACACACACACACACACAGCTACTGGGCAATGCCAGAGGGGACTTGGCACAGGGCTCTAAGCTAACACTGATAGTAAGTGAAGACTTGTTCCGTCTGACCTTCTGATTTGGCTCACAGCCCCCTGTAGGAATACTCACTTTCTATTATAAGACCCAGAACCCTGCGCGTCAGATAAACTATCGAACCAGAAGAAGGCAGAAGTCGTGCAGCATAGACTTCACTTCTGCTGCAGATCCAACAGGATTTCAAGTTTAGCTACTTTTGCTTTCACTTGGTTAAACCTGTCAGGGGTAATTCAAGAGAAATATTCACAGGGTGGCAAAAGGGCGGTATGGAGATTTTAAGTAGCGTCAGAAATATATGCTGATTTAATCACAAACAATTGCATATATCAGAATTTGCTTGGAAAAACCCCCAAATTAAGATATTTGAACTCAAAACATTACATTATTGTGGAACATTAGTAAAACATTGAATATAAATATCTAAAGGTGGCATTTAGAAATCAATAAATTGTTTTATTTCCAAATATTCCGACAATTTTCCAACTAGATGTCTTTTTTCATTGAACTGAAGCCTATCACTTTGTCTAAAATGTGACCATAACAGATTATTAAATTATATTTTTTTAATATTTAATATATATTATTTTTTAAATTAATCTAAATTAATGTGTTAAATTTGACAGCATTTAACACCAGCTGGGGTGGCTAGGCATTTTTCACAGGTGGCAGCTGCCACCCCATGCCAACCCTCTCGGTCCGCCCCGTAACCTGTTGGTCACAGAGAAGGTTTACTATGATGAAAAGGGCTTGAAGAAAAAAGGTTAGACAACCTGCATATGTGCAAAACAGAGAAAGGAGGAGGCAGTTATTGTAGTTCAAGATTAAATATTCATGAATACATGTAGGTCATCACCTCTACACAAGCAAGAGGTTGTTGTGAGCAGGAACCAACACAGACGCACAAGTGTCACCTTGTGTTCATTCAGCTGAAGTTTATTGTCTTAATTAGAATATGGTAATGAACAAAGCCTTTCTCAGAGACCGGTATTAACTCCTGACTGAGAAACTATTTGGACAAGATGACAGACTGTGTCACACTGCTGCTTGTTGCCAGAAATAATTTCTGTCCGGGATCACAGATAATTAAAAAGAACACAGCTGAATTGTTTAAAAGCTGGTGCAAATTAAGACAGAGGTCACTCGGATCATTCCTCGTCAAACACAATATAATATTACACTGTGTGTAGATAAGCTATTTTAGGCTCAGCATGAAAAAGCAAAACAAGGAGGGAGACCGAGAAGTGACGGTGAGAGAACCGCATAAAAACACACATTATTCAGCATTTATCTACATTCAGATCCAGCTTCTGACCAGTAGGACCCAGCATGTCATCAACATCTGTATGTCCAGTTGTATTTTTTATTGTGATCTGACTGTTTAGCTCCTGCTTTCCTGTGACATTAACATGCAGCTGATCTTGGCTCTCTAGCATCTGGCAGCCCAGTAATGTTCCAGGGTTGTTGCTCTGGACTGTGTCACTCCTCTGCTGGTCAGAAATATGACTCTCCACTTTATAGTTATTGCTCTCTACGGTTTGTTGGCTGTGACTCTGGCTAGCTGGAATGCAGTCCTGCCGCTGGCCGTCAGCAGGACTGCAGCCATCTATGCTAGGATAATGCTCCCTCTGCCCCTGCTGAGTGGTGCTGCTGTCTGTTTGACTATGGCCTCTTGTCCCATCTTTTGACTTGCTGTCACGCTGCTGGCACCGTCTGTTCTGGCCTAATGTGATTTGGAGCTCATTGAGGCGCTGTGATACATGGCGTCTCTTCAGTTCCAGCAGGATTGTTCCATTACGACTCAGGCTTGGCATGCTTGTTGGTGTTGCCCTCTGTGAAAGGATACATCATAGAGAATGGATTGTATATGTGGTGGTAAAAGATAAATGAATTCCAGTCTCAAGCAACAATGCAAATATGCAAATGTAACGCACATCATACTCATGCATATTGATTCACACATTTTTCTTAAGTCAAGGCTAAACAGGAGGGAATGAACATGGCAACATGAAAAGTGAGATAGAGTTAAATAACATATTTCAGCATGTTGACATTTGTAGGAAATAAAACACTAAGAGATCATTTCTAGGCTTTCACAACACAATAAAATGAACATGCAGATGAATTCTTTGGATTATGTAATTATATATGCAATGTGTAATATTCCAGTTTATTACCTCAGCATGGTTGCCAGCACTGTTCTCTCTCTCCTTTAGCCGTGCACTCATTTGAGCTCTCTCTTGTAGCTGCACACTCAGCTGCAAGAAAGACTCATTCATGCTGTCAATTTCTTCCTCTATACAGGACATCTGTAATGGAGGAAATTGTGAATTAACAAGAGCGGCGCTTGAAGGACACTGACTGCTCTCGTAAATTAAGACAGTTTATGATTTTATAATAGAGCGTTACCTGCATCGGTGTCCCTTTTGGTGGTAAACCTGCAGAAATTTAACTTTTTTAAAGATCTTTGATTCTTCAGAATTGAAAAAATTAAAAATATCTTAATGGAATCTATATTGATGGAAAAGACACAACAACTGAAACACCCAATAATAAATGATTACTGTGTACCTAGCAGAAGCACCACCTATTGCGTTCAGAATAGCTTCAGTGCTCATTGGCATGCTGTCATTAAAGTCATGAACTGTGTGTACTAGGATATTGGACCATTCTTCTGGAACAAAGGCTCTTTAGTTGATGAAGGAGGTGAAAATCGACTTCATTCTTTTTCTCCCCAGGACTTCCTATAAAGGTTTAATGATGTTTAGATCTTGTGACTGGGGAGCAATGGAAAAGCGTCTGACTTCCATCTTAAATCACGATTAAATGTGTTCATTAGTTGATATGGCTGCATTATTGTTGTGAAATATGGGAATGTTATGGGTTTCACAGGATAGCTTACCAATTCTGTTATGGATCAATAGCTGCAGGAATGAAAATGGCTAGTAAGACCTTAATAGATTTTCCATGATCAAGGGTCAAGAGTTTGTGCTCCTTACACTAGGGTTTTTTTTTTAATCTTTTATAATATATCAATACACCAGGATTTAAAAAAAAACCTGGTTGCTTGTTGATGCATGTCTGCTAAAATATTTATGTTGTAACTTGGCAGTGACAGATGCATTGTGTGAAATGTAAGGTTTTTGCACAACTTCTAAGGTTCAGTCAAGAACTTTCTTATTATGATATGTGGTTTTTTACAATGTTTTGGTCAGAGAAATTGTTGTTATTGATTTTGCATACTGTATTATCTAACTGTGTCTTACTAGAAAGGAACAATTTTCTCACCTGTGTCTTTGTCCTCAGCTGAACTCTGTTTGAGGGTTGCGATGAGCTGCTCTAACTTGAAATATTTGTATTTCTCCAGTCTAAATTGTAAGAAGAAAGTTAAAGGTTGTTTAACTACATGATTTTTAGAGGGGATACAACTCTCTGCTGAAGGTTATACTTTCTCACCAACCTGCAAGCTAATAGGTGCTCAGTGAACTGTGTTTCAGTGGGAACTCTAATGTTGAGAAATTCATCAACTAATGCACCATGCTGCTCCTCTGAAGCATCAAATTTTGACTGTAAAAAGAAAGAATAAAAAGTTATCTGTCCCTACTCTTGCAGTATAAGTATGATGTGTGAGGCTAAAATAGCACTTACACACCTCTGTTGTGCTCCATTTGAAAGAAAAGTTGAACAGCTGAAGGCTTAAAGCTGAAATAGCCTCATGGAGTGCTTGCATAAAGCTCTGGGGTTTAGATCCTGGATAAAAGAAAAGAAAAACAAATATCATATTGTTTCCAAAGAAGATTACGTACTTACGCTTTTAAAGATGATTATCAGAGCTATTATACTGAACTAAACCACTGTTTCAAAAACATGACACAAGCTTGGGTCTCAAGACTCTCCTCCGTTACTATCTGTCAGATTACCTGATGCTATGTGGGCCATGGACTCCAGAAGGGTAGCAATGAAATGTCCCACATGCTGAAGCTTTTCCTCTGATAGATAAAGGATTTGATTGGCTGCATCAAAATAAAAGTCCCTTGAGCATTGTGCCAGCAGAGCCTCATTAGAGGAAGATGGAGAACCAGGGATTGACTTGGCGAGCAACAGCAGCACAGAAGGGAACAGGGGACAGTTTGCAAGCAACTGCATCACTTGGCAACCAAAAAGGAAGACGGCAGAGTGTTGAGGTGAGAGGTTGTCCAGTGCAGTCGGAATAAGTTGCCCATCATTGTTGTCCTGGATAGAATGCTCTGTAGTTGCTAAAACATATGACACAAATGTTTTAATTTTTAATTTTAGGGTTATATTCATTATAACCTAAATTTCTTGGATTGAGGCTTTTTTAAATTATGTTTCTGTACCATGGTGGAGATGATGATTAGATTCAGCTGTGGTAAGTTCCTGTAAAGACTGTTGGATCTCTTGCAGGGTCTTGAATAGAGGAGATATGCAGACCAACTTGGACAGGTCATGGTCACTTAGACAAGGAGCTGTGCTCTGTAGATGGACTGAGGAAAGACAGGATCATCTCACTGTTGTGACATAACATCCTGATGCTCTTAAAAAATGAAACAAACCTTTGCTCTTACCTGGTTCATGGGGAAGAGCTTCTGCTTTGGTCATATTCACTGATGAACACTGAGGACATAATTTGAAAGAGTAAATGATTATCTACTAATTACTCCAAGATATGCTACAAACAGAACAAATGCCACTACAGTACCTGCGTATAACACATGTTTGTGTCACCGGGTTGTATGTATCCAGATTGTGGCTCACATTCCCTGGCATCATGAGGACCAGTATGACAGTACGGGGGACCAGACACATCCTGGTTATGCCAACCTTCTCCTGTCAGCCTGCATAAGAGAGCTTCCACTGATCTGAGAACAGCTCCCAGTAATGCTACAGAGGCCTCAGCTGGGGTGATATGGATGTTCAGTTCCATGCAAGAAATAGTTCAGAGAAAAACAATTAATAAGGGATGTGACACAGTTTTAAGCACAACAATGGGTGATTTAAAGAGTAAAGAGTCAGGCAGATATGAGTCTTTTGGCCATTAAATAAAAGGAAGTATTTGAGCACTTGTGTGTTATACATTCTGCCACACACAAGAATAGTGCAACATATTGGGGAAAACACACTATTTCCAAGTCAAGTCAAGTCAAATTTCATTTATATAGCCCAAAATCACAATTTGCCTCAGGGGGCTTTATACTCTGTACAATAATCAACACAGGACAGAACTCCCAAATTGGAAGACATACAACTGATGTCAAGAGTGTAAACCAACAAAATCCCATTATATAAAGATTTTGATGACACAATGTCTGGTACATGAAGATTACAAAAAATATGTGAAGAATGTGGATCCAGGAAGACACTGAAACAACTTCAGATGTCAATGTCCATCATGGAGACATCTCTTTACTTATTCACTTACTTGCCAAGAGTTAGATGAGAAGATCAATACCACTGGAAGACAGCAGCCAGTTAGCTTAGCTTCGCATAAAACAGGGGGAAACAAGCACTCATAAAGCTTTGAATGTTGGTTCTTTGTGCTAAGCTTAGCAAACCAGCTGCTGGCTGTAGCTTCATGTTTTATAGTACAAACATGAACGAACTATCAATGTTCTCATCTAACTCTCGACAAGAAAGCAAATAAGCATCCTTCCCAAAGCTTTGGAAAGATCAGTTGCTCTAATGAAATCACTTACTGTATCACTATCAAGTTTTTACCTTGTGTATCTCTCTCTCCTGCACTGCTGTTAGATGGTTTATCCCTCATTGCATTATGGACTAGCAGCTCCTTAAGAAGACTAAGTTTTTTATGATCCATATTCTCAAAGACGTTCTGAAAGAAAACAAATCATTTTATATGTTTTCTTGCAGAATTTGAGGCACACATTTTAAATATTACACATCTAATGGTTAACTCTTTCTTAACTAGAGTGAAACTCACCTTGAGTGTTTCAGTCTGTTGACAGATGTTTCTATAAAACTCCTGTGTGTCTTTGCGGTGTCGGGCCAGTTGTGAGGCTATGTGGAGGTTCTGATCCTCTAGTTTGTCATAAAGAGTCTTCACATTGAACTCCTCCAAATCACAACACCCTGACACACTTCCTAAATGGGAGTATAATTAATAGGTAAGTTAGTGAAATAGTTGAAATAAAATAAAATAAAATCAACGGTGAAAGGCCTCAGCGTGCCATCTTAAAGAACTGAGGAGATAATGCTTGTGATGAATGGCTGCACCTTGAAATCAAAATCTCTCTCAACTGGGCTCCATAATAATTCAGTAGAGTGTCTCTAGCTCTTTAGACTGTGTGGGACAGAGCATGCAATGGATGATAAGTACTTGAATTAAAATTGCAGAGGCTAACTAGAGAGTTAGAGATAACAGCACAAGTCATTAGAGTGTGATATTAGCCATTATTTTCTTTATCATCAATCAAATGGGGAATAGGCTGTTAACTGCTACCTGGTCATGCGTGATGGTTTCATAATGACTAGGCCAATGGACGTTTAAACGCCCTATCAAGCTGCATGAATAATGCAATAAGCACTAAGTGAGAAACATTAAAGTCAACGCAACCTCATGGTTCAAACATTATCCCAGACTTGAAAGAAACAATAGCAAATATATTGAAAACCAGTAAAATGAATAAGAGTTGCCAACGTGTTTTTTTTTCGTGAAACCTTTTCAATGAATAATTTATGACCAGGTCATTGAAGTAGTGCAGAAAATATAAAAACAGATGGTTAAATTTAACCAAACCATGGTTGCAGAAAGTTAGGCTCAAGGCTGTCTTTAGTAGGCCTTAACCATAAAACCCTATATACTATGCGTTTAGCCATGCTATGCTTAGAATTTAGCTCAAAGCACCAAAGTACAGCTTCACAGAGCCACACAGTGAAGCAGTCGATGGTGAAATTCTTTGATCTCAGGCGACTCTTCCAGATGTATATAATAATATGTAAAAATAAATATGAGGAAATGGAAAGAAATCTTTGTAATCATTTCAGCATATAACAGAATATAATTCACTAAATAATCTTTAGGATTCTATTGGAAAATGTCCACCACACCCACAGGTAACACCATTATTTTCTGACACTACTAATGTTATTTTGAGGGAGAAGTATCATGTTTCAGGAGGAAGGGAATAATAATAAACAGTGAACTTACCTCCTTTTGAAACAGCGGGTTCCTCAGATTCTGCTCCCTCTCCTACACCCCTACTGCCTAGGAAGCCACCTAGGCTTGGGACAACTATGCTGAAACACAAAGCCACACATTTTTATGTCTTATGTCATTTTACATATTTTATATAAAGAGGTTGGTAAGAACAATGAGACAGAGAGGAGGGCGACTTTAGCATATATAACGAAGGGTACATGGATAGTATGTGCCACAAGGACACCAAACATCAGTGTCCTGACATGAAAAAACACGCTATTAGTTCTTATAGCCAACATACCTGTCTCCACTGCAAACACAATCCACTGGACAGAAGGGCTCCCCAAGGCTGCGCCACTTTGGCTTAGTCCTCCACTGGGAGACAAGTTTTGCTTTGCCAGGTCGTAGAACTAGCACTGTGGTGGTCACAACCACAACTAGAACCAGCAGCAGACTCAGGATCCCTACACACAGTTAGCATTGTGTCACAATAAAACTAGGGTTAACCCATTCTAAACATACACTTGCAAGATAAAATGTTGAGCAAACAGTTGGAATAAAACACCTGCTATAACTCCCCAGTCAGGTAGAAGGTTGAGTCTGTGCTGCTTGACAATGCCGTACTTGACCAGCTGTGCTGGGGTCATGGGCTGGAAGACGGAGGCCCGAGGGTCACACTCTGTCCCCTCCTCACTGACAACCACCACCATACTCCACTCTGGGACAGCATTATCAACGAACACATACTTCCCTGTTTCTGAAAACACATGGGCAAACCTGTGAAAATGATCAGAGATGGAAGAAATGGTCACAAAATTGGATTTTAAATAATCAACACTTAAGACTCTAAATGCGGTATGGACTCATTGCTACCTTGTAGAATTGAAGTTTGTCTGCGTTATGAGTGTATGCAGACGTCTGAAGGCACCAAAATCCCAGCTGGGGTTACTGTTAAATAGGTGGTCTTTCTGATACACTGGGAAGTGGCTGAAATGGCGGTCTTAGGGATTTAAAATAAAGTTATTGCAAGATTACAGTGTTTACAACTGAAATAGATCACACCATCGTTATAAAAACAACATGCAAGTAAACAAACTCAGCGGTACCAGTGTGGTTGATGGTGAGATGGAAAATGAGCATGTCACCAGAGGACAGACAGGCGATGGGGTTGGGGATACGGGGAAGGACAGCAAAGTTGGTTGCAGCATTATCATCATCCCCTGTGTCTCTCCTCTTTCTGGGTCTTGTATTTAGAACTTCTATTGGTTCTGAGTTAAATCAGTGTTAAATCAATTGTCAACTATTTTCCTGTAAAATTATACTGGATACAAGAACTAAATGCGTTGATTAGAAAACTTTAAATAAAATGAATCAATGTGTCAGGTTAAGTTTAGTCACCTGACAGAAACTGATAGATGAGCTCTCTCTGTATGGGAATCCAACCAAACACTCCTTCAGAGACAAATTGGACTAGATGGATTTTACCAATACTCCTTGCATGGATATCTGGTCCTAAGACATTCATTATGGTCTGGAAATAAACAGAAACAAGTTCAATAAGAACGCTACTGCAGCACTAGACCACAGCATATTACATAAATTCGAGAAAGAAAATGACAAAATATCAATAACTAGTTCTGAGATGGCTTCTGTCGTAAAACTTGCAGTGCATCCCTTTGCATACGACCACTGCACATAAGTGTTTTCACCATATTGGAGAAGGAATAACATATAAAGATAAACTATGGCATATTGAGTTTCTACATTAGTTAGATATACAGAATATTTTCCTGATTACTGAATCTGGTATACACAGTGCTGACTTTGAAGTAAGAGGCATTGTTGTTGTCATAGAATATGTGTGTTCTTGTGTAAATAATTTAACTTGTGTTTTCTATGGCTAAAACTGTAGATTATGGTAAAATGGTGGTTCAATTTTGAACAAAAAATGGTTGAAAGTGTAGATAAATGTCAAAAATTAAGAAGGAAAACTGCATAAAATGACAAAACATGCACATTAATTTATGATAAAACTAGTGGAAAAATCTAATTTCTTGCATGGAGAGAGGAGTTCATTATTTATCTCTATGCAATGATATCACACAATCTGCAGATGCAACATTTTTCCAGGTGTTGTGCTGAGTCTCTGAGACCTGATGAATTCCACGGCAAGCTTTCTGCCAACTAATCGATCTAGCCAGACCCTACAGTCTGAGAAAATTTCTGGCTGCATCAGTACAATACTAATGTTAGATTTGTAATTATTTTTATCTGGTGGTAGCAGCTTCCGAAAATCCGCCCTCTCACTTATATACACACATTTAGTGTAATTTATTAGTAAGTATAAGGTAAATGAAATCCATCTTGTAAGGCATAGCCAGTCATCAGCTTGCCATTGGCCCTGTCACTTCTCCCTTACCCTGGCCCAGACCATGCTGTCTCTTTCTTTGAGGCTGAGCAGCAGGTGTCCATCTCGGGAGAACTGGGCAGAGACCTGAGGCAGTCTGGAAAGGCAGGATGTGTTGCAAAGTTCTTCAGCAGACACATATCGCTCACACTGGCAGCTGGAGCACCAGGATCAGGCAGATAAGACCAGACATAGAAAGACACACAGCATATCAGGCTATTTACAAGATAATCATCAATATTGTCTTCAGGGTCATTTTTAAAGTAGTAGAATAGTAGAATAATTGAAAAAAATATAAGTTAGATTTACATGCCCATCTCTACATCCAGAGTTCCTCCATGTGGTCCACAGGTGATATTGCAGGAGTGAAGGGGGGGTGACACACACTCTCTGGATGCTGCCAGACGTACTTGTCCTGTGGAACACCGTCTGTTTGCCTAAAACACACACACACTGACATCTGAAAACTCTTCAAACCTTGACTTTGCTTGTCATTTCATCATTCATGATTGAAAACCAGTACAAGAGTATTTCTCCTCCATCTCACACATTGATTTCAAAATCAATTTTATAAAAAGAAATTATAAAGTAAAATCATTGCAAACAGGTCTCAGTAGGGCAGTGTTTTCCACAACTTCGATCATTTATTTGTGGTTTTCAACACAGGGGTGTATGGGTTGTTGATATGCTTGTGGGAAACTTCAACATCAGACACCTCAATACCTCTCCAGGTCTCAGGCAGACTTTCAATAAATCCACACATTCAAGTGCATGTTCATGAAAACTTTTGAAAGGAAGAAATTACAAACTCAATCCTAAAATAATATATGTGAGTAAATATATTTGGATTAACTTTTCCAAAGAACACTGTGAAAACTTGATACAGTAATTGACAGCAAAAAGAATAATATTCCTAATTTTTGATTGACTGACCTCAGGCTGGCAGTCCAATTCACTGTCAGAGGTAGAGCTTTTGAAATCCAGTTCATTGTAGAAGATAAAACCAGTTCTGCACAAACATGAACCATCGGAGTGCTGGAATGCTCGGTTCTTACCAATACAGGTACAAGAAGAAGAACCTGAGGAAACAGGTGTGAGGCGGCATCCCAATGTAATTATCAGAGATATTTTCCTGAACAGATGAACAACTCTTCTAAAACTGTAACTTGAAAATGATTTTAAAAAAAATAATAACCAACATTTAATTTGTTCAGATAAAATAATTTAATGTGGTCTCAGTTATCGTATAAGATCTAACCTGCTAGTGAGGTGGAAGAGCTGCCACAGGGAAAGCAGGCCTTCTGAGCAGGCAGATGGTTGAAGGTGCCAGCTGGACATGGGTGACAGTCGCCCATTGTTTCAGCATGAGAGAGGTTACCAAAGGAGCCGGGGGGCAGGGTACTGGTTGAGTGGATCCCATGAGACAGACATACCCAAGAGGGCAAGGATTGTTTTTGTAGTGCTCTGTACCTGTTGAATTAAAATAAATGCACACCTCATTTGGAGATAAATAACAAATTGCACACATAAATTAAGATCTGAAATGATTTGTGGTGGTGAGTATTGTACCTGGGGGGCAAAAGTATCCTGGTGGACATGGAAGGCATTGTAGGATGGAGGAGAGGTACAGACGATAGGTGCCCCCCTCACACAAACTACAGCAGGTGTTTTTGGATCCTCTGAGTCCGCTGGTGTTGACAGGCATGGAACCCCCTTCGCAGGACTTCATGGCAGAGCTGTTGGCTGGGCAGTAGTAGGGAAATGGACAGCTGTAGGGCATAGTAACAAGGTTATTTATAAAGCTTTAACCCACACCATGAAGAATGAGTCTGAACCCATTATGATTTCATCGGCTCATCAGTTAAAGCCTCTTATTACCATGTTAGTCTTACAAACATGTGTTTGCACGCCAGGTTTCATGCAAGGTTTTAGCATATTGGACCTTTCATGCACTCACAGTTGTTTGGGGTTATGGTATGAATGGGATCCCTCGGGACAAATATAACCTTCAGGACAGACTTGGGGCTCTGCAGTCTGAGGTCCACAGTATGAGCCAGCTCTGCACAGCCTCTCTGAGACTGCACCTGGATTATGAGCAAAAACTCATTACTGGAGAACCTTATTACTGTCTTTAGGGAGAAAGACACTTATTACAATAAAAGATTCAAAGTCATCACACACAAAATGTAATATGCTATGCTAACATTATAAACTGTGTTGATAAATGTACCCATGGGGCATTCATAGGAGGCCCTGCAGGGGATCCCCTCTACATTGGGCTTTCCTGTAGCCCAAGGATCTGGGCAGAAGGTTCCGCCTGTACAGGGTTCACACTGGGTGGGTGAAGCAGCTCCAGGAAGGGGTCGCTTAGTGCCTGCAGGGCAGAGGATGGGGGGTCCAGAACCACTGCACCAGAAACCAGGTGGGCAGGGACTGTTGGAGTAGTCTGTAAGCCCTGGAAAATAAATCATTAATGTTAGTTACATCACACACTATAACCAAAGTAAAAAAAAATATTGCTGCATCATCGTCCACACACATTGAGCCCTAAATAAAAATGTTTAATAAAAATATAAAAAAGTTTATCAAAAATGACTTAGGAAGCTTTTATTTATGCAAAGAAAGAAGCAGAGGGAGGGAGACCATATGCTGGGCATTAACCATTAGATAAAGTTTATATAACTTTAAGTTAAATCCACCACTGAACTACTTCAGCTTCAGGTATCACAAGTTTTATATTCAGTGTCACAATCACACTATACTCCCTTTACTCTTATCTGAGACACAGGCTCAGGCTATTATAATAGTCTGAATACATACTGAAATTAATACAACCTTGGAAGGCAATTTTCTTTTAACTGTCCTTGCAAATGTGAAAAAAAGCCACCAGAGAGAGTATTAAGGTGTATTTTACACTTCATTATAGACCCAGGATATAGCAGAATGGAAAGAGGGGGGTGGAAACACCTTTAATGGAAAGGAATCAGTTACATTTATAGATGTAATTTCAGTTCATCTTTTTAATTAGTGGGTTGTGGTCTGTTGTGTGAGATGCAGTGTTTCAGACCTGTGCTGTTACAGTGTGAACCAGGAGGGCAGGGCAGACAGTCACCCTTGCTGCCTGCTCCAGGGGAAACTCGATAGGTGTACAGAGGACATGGTCTGGGTCCTGTCCCTCCACTGAAGTCACTGCCAGATACACCATCACAGTAATGACCAGCAGGACACAGATGAAGGACTAGCTCTCCTGCAAACATTTTAGGAAGAAAAAAAGGTTTCAGATATTCAGTGCAATTGTTTTTTGCCACTTTTGTTACACTCTTGCTTATCCATTGGGGAATTTATTTCAATACTTTATTGATCCCTTTTAAGGCTGATCAAGTGCTTGCCTCAAGCTTTATTTCTGATGTGTTAACCCTGCATGAGCCCAGGCTTAATCATTATTCTCAAGGCAGAGCTCTCCTGGCTGTTTCTAATTCACAGCCTGTGGTTTTAACTGTAATCATGCTGGCATCTACTAATACTCAGTTTACACATGAAACATTCAATGACTGCAATTAACTACCTGGTAGGATAACGAGCAAGCTGCTTCCCAAGCATTACTATTAAAAATTGCTCATTTAGGTCAAAAGAAAAGAAATACTTATATAGAGAGCTCCCAAACTATACAATGTTCTCCCTGCTTTGATTGTCTGAATCAATTTATCAATCTCAGCCATTCCTTTTCATCACTACTCAGAACCAATTTGTCGAAAAAGGCCTCTTCATAACTTAATTTTGCATTCTATCCTGAATTTTTACCCTAAAAACCGGATTACAGTAGCTCTAAAAAGACTTCTAACCACTCACATACAAAGACCATTGATAGCTCATACCAGGTTTACACCAATGCTGAGATGGGCAGGATAAGCAGTCTTGTTTGCTGGCACCTCCTGGGGAAGTTCTGAAAGTGTTTGCAGGACACAACACAGGCTCCTCTGTGCCCTCAGGGCAGTAGAAACCTGGAATAAACAATACTTATATGCATTAACAATTTATTTTAAATTGTTAAAATGATGAACTCTCCAATCTCAAAAGTCAAAGAATCTAAAAATAAAATATGAAGATATGTAAATATAAATGAATCAATTACAGGTAGCATTTAGGTTGTTCTATTTTTAAAGAATTGATATAGTACCTGGTGGACATAGACCAGCACACTGCATGCCCCACTGGCACTGGGTCAAGTTAGACATTGGTCCCTGAGGGGTGAAATCTGCACTCCCAGAAACACAAAGATAGCCTGCAGCACATACACCCTGGATCCTTCCAGCCCTAACACAGGGTTAATTTACCCACAAAACCACAAGATACAATGCATACACAGAGAAACACATTTAGACACAAGAGCATTTTGAAGACACTAAAAAGTATGCTTCATTAGATAAATAGAATGACAACTACATTATTTCTAACATTTTCACCTCCCATATGTATATCTGAATCAATTATGTCCATGCACATTAAGGCCTTAATTTGGCTGTTCAGTGAACAGTGACTCCTGAACATGATACACTCCTGTACTCCTGTATTCAGCTAATTGTGAGTATAATTAAAGCAGAGATCAGTGTTTGCCTTTGAGTATGTGTCTGTATGTGTATGCATGAAGACAGGAAGCACATGTGCCTAACTGTGTGTCTGTCTGTGTATTTCTGCATGTATGTGATTGTGAGACAAGTGCACATTTGAGAGCTTATGCATGCACCCATAGGGGCTGTGATGCATCCAGTGTACCTGCAGAACTTCCCTGGAGGGCATGGTAAACACTCTCTCTCTTCTTGTAGCCCTCCCTGGTTTGAATGAGTGTATGTCCCATTAGGGCAGGGCTGAGGCACCATGGTGCCTATAAAAAAAAAGATCCATTAAAACGGAGACTGACAACATGATTTATTAAATAGCAATTACTAAAAGAGAATGTGGTTTTTTTGCAGTAAAACATACAACTTAGAGTCATTTTCAAGTATTGTTTGTGTTGTTTGTGATGGTTAATAAGCCTATACATAAATTACATTAAAGTTTCTATTCACTGAGGTTTTAGAATACCTGCAGGGCAGAATGAGTGTGGTGGGCATGGCCATGGCTCTCCTACTATGGCCTCCTCACAGTAGAATCCAGGTCGGCATGGGATGCAGCTATCTGAGCCTGGGTTCGGCTGGTACTCTCCCGTGGGACAAGGCAGGGCCAGAGCAGAGCCTTCTGGACAGTAGTGGCCCTACGAGAGAATGGAAATGACAGAGGGGCATCTGAGGGGTGGCATTCAGTGCAGCAGGACATTAATAATAAACAACACGGCACAAGCGTCTCTAGGAAAGATAATGTTAGGAAAACAATAAGAACAATGGAAAAAGGGAGGACAGGGAAGGGAATTCCGAGAAAACGAATGAAAGAGTATATGAATAACCCTTACCTTGGGACAGAGAAAGGCATACGGGGTGGTTGAAGCAAAGTCAAAAGGGCAGAAGAAACCAGCAGCACAGGGGCCACTGGGGTTGGCAAGACCCTCAGTGGAGCAGTAGTGACCTGCAGGACATGCAGTGCAGCTCTCCATGGACACACCTCCTATGACAGTAGGACAACGGATACCAGTGAGGTCAGACAAGCAGAGACAACAAAAGATCCTATTAGGACCTCTTTCAAATGAAAATCACAGCTCTTAACTAAAGATATAATATTAATATCACACAATGATTTGAAAATGCATGCAAATTTCATGTTGGGTGTAAACAGTATGTGTACCAGTGGTGTTGCCAATACTGCCAAGAGGGCATGGAATTGGGGAGAGGCACCCTGCTGGACAGTAGTGGCCCACGGGGCAAGGGCCATTCCTGGGGAAGTAGTCAGAGCTCTGCGGCGTTGGCTCCATGGCTCCACCTTGGCAGAAATAACCCTGCAAACAAGAACCTTGACAAAAATACAAACACAAAATACATTTCTTTTCATGTTACTAAATGGTTTAAGCAGTGTAAGGGTATGTACATTTTCCTAAAAGGCTACAATACTGTCATAATATTTTTGGGTCTGGTGACCTTGTGGTGTTGAGGCTCCATATGTGCTACAGTATACTCCAGAGGGGCAGGGTGTGCAGATGGAGAAAGAATGGGCTCCTGTCTGGTTGCTGAAAGTCCCTAGAGGGCAGGGCTGAGGCAGGGCTGTCCCAGCAGGACAAAAATAACCTAGGAAGAGAGTACTTATTAAATATTGGTTTATCATTAACACAGAATTAGACATTTGACCACTGGACAGTATTGATGCTACATTTAAAAATGGTTTTAAAAAAAAATTTCAACCATCCACACCAGCTGGGCAGATAGAGGGCTCTTCAGTGGCTGAGGAGGAACACATGGTCCCTTTGGGGCATATTACACAGTGGGCTGCTCCAGGGGCAGGACTGTAAGTGCCAGGCTGACAGGGCACCTCACTTGTTGAGCCAATAGGACAGCTATGGCCAGCAGGGCAGAGATAGCCATGGGAACCATCAGGCGGGGTGGGACTGGTGCTTCCAACCAAGCACACATGCCTGTAGGCATAAACAGTGAAAACAAACTTCATATAACAAATATTGCCACAAACTGCTATTAGACAGGTTGAACAATTTGTCAGTGAAGAAATATAAGTCTTTGAAAACATTGCAATGAATATCTTGACCACTGGTGTCATTAGGCCACTTTAAATTTAAAATGATGGTTATTAAAACTACTGTATTGGTTTTGCAACGGTTAATAACTTACCGCTCTTGGACTGTGCCCCAAAAAGTACTTTATTAGGCAGATTTTCAATGGGCAAAATTCCAATTTACAATAACTATTTTACTGCATTTAGACAACATGATTTGATACACTGAAACTGAAATTAGTAAATTTTCATTCAAGAGAATAAGTGCTTAATTGCTTAATTAATCAAATTTGATTAAATGAAAGTCTAACCTGTTAGACTTAGTAAACAGTTAAACACAATAAATATAACCAAGAATTAGAAATTAACTATTAACACTACACTTAGGGTGATACTTTAAAATTATACTTATTCAGTAATATAATTTCAGAAGAAAGCACTTTTAGCTGCTAAGTATAGTGTGTTTCCAGAAAAAAATTACATATGCTTTAATAACTGACAGTGATTATTGTCAGACACAATAAAACTAATGTTTTATGGCTAAAATGTCTTTGAATTGCACTAAATTTTAATTCTACTTCCCATAAGGCAAACCAAATCTTTTTATTCACAGTTTATAAACTGAACAGAAATAAACTCTGATTCTGAACCCTTGGCAGACACATTTAGTGCTCCAGGTGCTTTAAAGTGGGTTTTATCTCTGAGTATTTATTGCAGAGCATATTTGCAACCAAATGCAACATTTAGCAAAGTGTTTTAAGTGTGGATCTTGTCCTGCTGAAGACACCTGCTCCCTTTTCTGCTGTGTGAACAGACTCTCATGTAAAAGACATCTGCTGTCCTCAATAATCTTTCTGAGTTTGTAGTTTATGTGAATACTGCCTTGTGATAGATTTTTGGAACACCAAACCTCTTGCTGGCATATTGAACAGGTCCCTTTAATCCATGTATAAATCCTGTGCATAAATTCAAAAACACTTTCAAGCAAAAAGATGAAAACACTTTGCATTAGAAATTAGGAGATACTGAAAGAGGGAGATAAAGAATGGGAGAGATAAGAGAAGAAAAACTATTTCAAAGCAAAACAATTTTCTTGTCCAGTTTCTATTCAGGTTCAGATGAAAACAGTCAAGTGAAAAACATGAATAAAACTGTGTCCACTCAGAGTGGGGAGTTTTGAAACTGAAAAAGCAGAAGAGCAGAAGTGTTTACCCAGCATGACACGGGAGAGCATCTGAGAGCTCTGCTATTGCAGGCCTGTCACAAAACAGTCCTGGAGGGCAGGGTGGGCATTCATCAATGCGCTTCAGTCCTTGGGAGATGGAAAGAGTTCCTGTGGGGCAGGGGAGTGGATAGCCAGTGCCAGAGGGGCAGAAGTGGCCAGAAGGACAAATATGGCCTCTGGTCGAATTCCCCTGAGAAAACAAAAAACATGATAACATCAATCAATGTTTTTCATGTTATCATATCTTAAGAATGCATATTATGCAAACCATGCATGCATTAACCCATTTTAAAGTCTACTAATGCCCTGAGGTCTCTCAAGGCTGAAGTGTTTATTACACCCCATAATACAAAATGATATCAGAGCCTTACTAGGAGTGGGACTGAAAATATGATGTGGTAGGATCATGTGGTCATTTCATTAAAAAAACGTATTCTCTTTAGAATAGAAATGGGCTCAGCAATAATGCAGTATTTCTATGTTATTATGCAATATGTTGTGTGTGAAGTTGACATTTTTTCCCTAGGGGGGATATTGAGGAAAGCTAATGGAGTGACAAAATTGGGGAGCAGAAATGTGTTCAAAAATTCTATGGTAAACCCACAATTAGCTTTTTAATAATTCTTGTGTATCACTGGAAATATAGGCTTGATGGTAGCGTCAAAGCACCATCAATAACCACAGCACATTTCCCGTAAATGCGGCCAGTTCTTATCTTGTGTACAAAGCTAATGGTGCTGTTTGAAGAAATATATTGGGCTGAAAAACAAGAAAAGCAAGGAGCATGAATGTGCTCAGTCAATCTAATCTAATCAATACTAATCACATTTTGATTATATTTCTTGTGGACAAAGGGAAATTTTGACATGAAGTTTCATTAGATGGAAGGTCATCAGGTCACCAATATCATTTTGAATCCTTCTCTGGGAACAAGGACCTGCTGACCAACATCCCCAGGTTACAGACCAACACCTGATACTCAGTGGAGTTAGGACTGGTTGATCCAGCAGGACAGTAGAACCCGGCCTCACAGAGTCCTGTTGGCTGGGACAGACCAGGTTGAGAGCAGAACATTCCTGCAGGAAACACCAACAGAATAAAGAAATCCTCATAAAGACTTGAGACACACTGATTTGACTGTGTACAAGTATTTCTTTTTTTATTTAATTAGGGTTAGATTGTGACGATGTAGATCAAGACACCAATCACTTCCATACCAGCAGGGCAAGGCAGGCAGGCCTCTGGACTGGAGGCTCCAAGCTGGCTCAGCACAGTGCCAGGTGGGCAAGGGAACTGCAATCCTACAGTCAGTCCTGGAGGACAGTAGTATCCGAAGGGACACAGTGCAGGCTGTACAGTACCTTCGACTGAGCCACACCAAGAAGGATTAATAAACACAGATGATATCTGCTGAGACCAATAAAATTAACAGCAAAGTCTTTGACTTTGAAAAGATACAACTTCATAATTAAAGACAGTCTGACACTCTGACACTGTAAAATCAGTTGTCAGTTAGATTAACTAAGGTAAAGTGAGGTGTAACTTCTATTTTAACTTGACACGTATCAGCTCTGCTTCAATTAGTAAAACCATGTGCTTCCCAGAATGACTTTGGACAATCCCCATAGAATCGGCGTGAGTTTGTTCTTTTCATTAAAAAGTGAACATATGGGCTTGTAAATATTCGGTAGGTAGCTTGCCAAGGATTTGTGTCCTTTCAACATGCCTGTGATCAAAGCTGTGTCTGTTATTAAAACAACTTATTAAAAACATATCCTGTGGCTGTACTGCATGCTAATCTTTTGTGACTGCTGGAAAATAAATAACAATGTCTACCCCCCAGTGTATGGGTTCCTCTCTGTATGATTGCTGAATATAGAAAAACTTGCAGAAGATAAGTCTAAACAGAGATTTTTAGAAGCGGGCCTCCCCACGGGGGCTCTAAACTGTTTGAGGGGAGGCTCAGTGAAGGAAAGTGAACAAAATATTACATTAGTTATTAGCTATCAAAACGCTATCACATAGAATCGCCCAAATGTGTGTCATTTAGTTAAAGAGATAGTTCAGACATATAGTAGATTTGGGGAACTTGTACTGTTTTTCCCACTTTCCCAGAGTCAGAAAATAACAAATGCTTTACAACAGACCTTTTTTATATATTTGGTGTAGTCTGAAGTAATGTCAAACAGCAATATTAGGCTATCTTGTCTCAATTGTTGAGCTTAAATAACATAATCATGATCCCATAGGCATCCAAGAATTGAGCGAAACTAAACAAGTCTGAGGGGAGGCGCACAGTCTCAGACTTCGAAACCCGTGCTCTAGGATGATCTATGTTTCCTACCTTGACAGTAATATCCAGGGGTACAGGTGGTACAGTTGTCGTGATGTGTGTTGCCTGTCTCAGAGCTAAATGTCCCTGCAGGACAAGGCATGGGGACTGGTGTTCCACTGGGGCAGAAGAACCCAGCTGGGCACAGAGCCTCATCTGCTCTGCTAGAGCCCCAGTCACAATAAAACCCTGCCCAGCAATCACCTAGAGCACAAAACGGAAAAGAACAGATGTAAATGGAGGATATTATTTTTTTAAATTAATCAAATCAGCAGCATTCAAAATAGAAACTTACTGAGAAACCTTAACAATAATTTTTTATCCAAGGACTTAAGGTGTCTTTTATTCCATTTACCTGCTCTTAGCCCCTGTTGGCAGAATATTCCACGTGGACAGAGAGATCCAGTTCTGTTGTCAGTCGGGTTTGGTACTGTAGCACCCATCAGACAAAGAAATCCAGCAGCACACACTCCTGAAGGCTCAACCAGACCTTCAGACCCACAAAACTGACCTGCTGGACACACTAGGCACTCACCTGCAAACACAGATTGACAGCTTTGACCTCAGTCCAAACAGCAAAACAAGCTACCTGCCAGGACAGCTCAATCATCAGATCTGAGATAGTTGCACACTGCTAGAAGTGCCAATGTCTTAAAGCAAACTAAATTAAGGAAGATTGTTTTAAGGGAAAAAAATACTTTCTGATTTAAATAATCAGTAGTTGACTCAAGAGTTACAGCACAAAACTTTTGCCTTCAGTAATTTACCCTCCTAACAAGTCTTCAAATTATTTTCAAAGAAAAAACAGCCAGACAATAATGCAACACTTCATGTGTTATTTTGTTTCACAAAGGTTCTGAGATTTTACCTGTGGTGGTGAGACCCTGACTAGGACTGTAGGTGCCTTTGGGGCAGGGGAGAGGCTGCCTGTCTGGACTTTCCCTGGGACAGATGTAGCCAGCAGGGCAGGGCAGAGGGCTAGTGTGGCTGGGACTCAGGGACTGGCAGTGGAACCCAGGAGGACAGGGATTACACTCTCTCTGGCCTGATAAATCCTGGAACCAGCCTGGCAAAGAAATTCAAACACTGAGGACGTCTTCAGAGAGGACAAGGGAATTTGTGTGTGAGTTAAGTTAATATAGTATAATGTCTTGTTTACCAAAAGGGCATGGTTTGCAGTCATCTTTGCCTTTTCCTCCAGTCTCATTTTGGTAAGAGCCAGCTGGGCAGGGTGAGGGCACACTGCTGCCCTCTGCACAGTAGTGGCCTTCTGGACAAACACCTCCAGATACACTTGACATTGGAGTAGCAGTATGGGATCCCTCTAGGCAGTAGAAACCTGGGGAGAAACACTTCAATAAAATGTTTGAAAAGCTCACACTAACATAACTAGATTCTCAGTCTTACTTCTGACCTGGCAGGCAGGGTCCAGAGACTGCAGACAGGCCAGTCTCTGAACAGTAGAAGCCAGGACTGCAGCTACGACACTGAGACTCATCCACAAGCCTGCTCTGCTCACTGTGAAAAGATGTGAACATTAATTGTAATAACTATAATCCCCAATGGTAGTCAAAACATTCCATGTAATTTGGAGAATAATTGCTTAGTATTTCATTCCAGAAATCACTCCATGCCACTACCTTACATCATTTGAAAGAATAACACTTCAAATTACATCTCCTGTTTCATCACAATGGTATATTTTACACTAACAAAGCATTAAGTTGAACATGGACCATTACCACCTTGAATGCCTGTGGATTACATCTTACAAATTCTAATATCACTACTAGTGTGTGAGGTATGTGTGTCACCACACAAAGTTATACTGTACTGTACTAGTACAAAATAGTACCAATCCTACTATGTTGTATAGACATTATGGTTTGCGGTAATAAGTGATATGAGTAGTAGTGATCTAATTCAAAAGTTAAGTTTACAGAGATATTACAGGATATGCACCTGAATGTTCCTTTAGGGCACGGTTTTGGTACAGATGTCCCCACAAAGCAGAAGAAGCCAGGAGGGCATTGGAATCCACTCAGACTGTCTAGTGGTGAAGGTTCAGAGGCTCCCCAAACACAAACAAATCCTGCAGCACATGGCCCACTGGGGAAAGTCCTCCCTTTAAACAAATAACATTCAAGCAAGGTTTTTTATCACCAGAGCAGCCATTTACCTCTAATTGTCTCTGGAATACATCACTAAATTTATACTGAGGCTGCAACATAGATATCTGTGAGAAATAGATGAAAAGCAACTGATAGGACATTATACCTGTTCCTTTACAGTACATCCCAGGGTCACACAGTGAGCATTGCGATTCCTCAACCAGACCTGATGTATTTCCATAGGTTCCTGCTGGACAGGGATGTTGATTTGTTGATCCACTGGGACAATAAAATCCTCTCTCACATGGAAGTGGGAGCGTCATTCCTGATGTATGGACACAGTGCAAAATACATTTATGTTCCCGGCTGCTAAATGCTTATGTCATCCAGCGATTTGTCAACCCATCAGCTTTACCTTGATCTTGACAATAGAAACCAGCAGGGCATGTCTCGCAGCTGCCCTGGCCTTGTCTGAGCTGGTAGCTGCCTGGAAGGCAGGCTGTCTGTCTGGCACTGCCCTGAAGCAACCATTAAATTAATTTGATTAGACTTTATATCTGGGGAATAACATTCATCAACAGGTATAATCATGGTGCAATGATAGCATTGGGGACAGACAAAACACAGGAAGAGGACTGGGACAGTCAAGAAAAACAGGAAGAAATTCAATCAATTGTCTTATAGTAAGAAAACCACAGCTGGTGAGGAAGGCTCATGCAGAGACATCAAATACAATATTCAGCAAGAATGACTGACAATAGCTTGAAGACTAATACTAGATGGTTGACCTTCTCACAACAATGTCCCACTGAGCAGACATGCTGTTGTGGTCTCTCAGAGCTCTGTCCCTCAGGACAGTAGTAGCCTTCTGCACACTGGCCACTTGGTTCAGCTATACCTCTCTGGTGGCAGTAGTGACCCGGAGGACACAGCTGACAAGCCTCGACTGTAGATCCACCAACGGAACCTGACGGGTAGCACACAATATACATAGGAATTAGAAAATAATTCACAAATTGATATACTTTAAAAAGGCTTGAATTGTTTGGTGTTTTATCTATAAACAGTGCTTATTGACTTGCAAAAAAAAAAATCATTTCGTAAGTTAATGTAATGAAAGCATTAAAATAGATAACAATGTTAATTCAATGCAGAGAACATACCTATTCCCTCATCAATTTCTAATTCATAATCATACAAAGAAGCTACAGAACATTTTAATAGGATTCTAGTTGTCCGCCGCGAGACAAGAATACAATTACACGATTAAACTGTTTTGTGACTAAAATTATTCATAGGTGCCCAAGGGAAAGAAAAAAGGCTTCAATGGAAGTTTTCATATTTCTACGCATCACTGAACTGCACAGATAGACACCAGTTCATGTAAGGACCTTAGCAGGAAAAACTGACAATGTGTGCAACAAAGAGGATTAGGTGTTATGTTTCTCAGTTTAGTATTGTGTCTGATTACTCATTCATCATTAATTCATGCCATGGCCTTAAAATGGGTGGGGAATACTGACTTGTCTTGAATTGTTTCTCTATTCAAAGGAAGAGAAAACATGCAGCACACAGCTTTCCTTTGATAATTACATTGTTCAACAATCAAACAATAAATGAGATTATTAGCTGAACCTAAGAATATAAACTATATTACAAAAGAGCAGTTTCTCACTTTTTATGGTTCCAAGAGGGCAGGGCAGAGGAAGAGGAGTTCCAAGAGGGCAGTAGTGTCCGGTAGGGCAAGGGAAAGCATTAGGGTCTGAAGAGCCTTTGGGGCAGTAATAGCCTGCAGCACAGGGCCCTGCTGGGGCATCTAAACCAGTCTGGTTACAGTAAGAGCCAGCCTCACAGGGCTGTGGGTAGGCAGAGCCTAGGGGACAATAGAAACCTGAAAAATAGCCACAAAAACAATCACTGAAATAAATCAACTTCAGAGAAACCAAAAGTCCAGTCAAGAGGATTACTGTTCTTATGCACACACTCCCCCTAGAGATAAAGGATTTTCTCAAACTCTGAACATTTTATTCCCACACTCTTATTTTCAGCTTCTTCTATTTACAGTTAACCCACCAGATTTTTTTACGTTCCAGCAGGCAGTAATTACTTTGCTACTGGAATTTAAATGTGTTCCTTCCTGACATCAGCTGTTATTTCAAGCTACTGTTTTATGCGCATCACCACCCAACCATCTCCAGCTCTTCAACAGGGAAGTCCAACTCCAGCATTTAGACTTTCAGGTCATCAAAAAGGGGAATTTGAACCTCCGGGGGTTTACCGGCAGGAGGAATTTGCATGACCATCAGCAATTATCTTGTGCCTTCACTGATTTACTGTACAATGAAGATATTTTCATGATGGGGTGTAATTGAAAAAGCCTTTTCTGCAACTCTTGACTTTTTTCTTTTTTACAAAAAAAAAAAAAGCTGGTCATTAGTTCTTGTGCTATCCCCTCATATTTTTTCTTAATAGTTTCCAAATAAAACCCAGAAGAAGTGATATTGTAACTGGAATATACTGCACACACTGGACAGATGAAATCAGTAAGATGTCACAGCAATTACAGTAAGTGGGACTAGCATGTCATGAGCAAGGAAGATAACGTGTGTGCCTGAGGGAATGATCAAAGTATCACATCAAGTGCACAAGTTCACTGTCAGGATTTACCCACCCCTGGGGCATATATCTCCTCTGTAGGTGGAACATGCATAATGTGGACTCTTGAGATATGGTGGAGGGTGAGTCACAAGATGGTCTGAATCTGCCGGTGGCGCCACTACCACTTCGATCCAGCTAGTGTCCCTCCCTATAATAGAACATGGCAGATAAAGCATGAAAGATGTCTAAGTTAATATCCTTGTCACACAGACAGGAAACCAAAGAGGAGCCACTCTTCTCTTTCTACATGCTGATTTAACAGTTTTGACTGCCAAGGGAACAACATCTTTTTTACAATGCAACACTGTAAGGCAATGATTAATTGTGGAATACTTTAAGGGAAGGTCAAACTGAAAAGCAGCTTCTCTGTGGGATGTTTATCACAACAACGTAAAGGCTTTACACTCTGGTTGAATAGTTTGAAGAAATTGATGTACTGTCCTTTCATGGGAAGCATTTACTGTGTTATTACAAACTGAAGAAACCCATATTTTACCAGAATTACTGGAGTTATTGAAGCAGGACAGATTGTGCATCCAGAAGGCGGTGCCTGCCTTTGTGGTATAAACCTCCAGTATTTCACAAAGACAGCTGAACAAAGAGGAGTTGGCTCGGGGCGTGGGGCTATTGGCACCTCCAGAACAGAAGAAACCTGCAAAACACAGTCCTAACATGGGGGTATTAGAAAAGGGTTACAAGCATGTGAGTGAGTATCTAACGCATTATACAGTATGTGATCTTGGCCTTGATAATCAGACCTGAATTGTCATTTAGTTTCCCTTCATTACTTGTTGTTTGAATCCCCAGAAAAATGTGTTAATGTGGGCAGCGATTTAGGGGGCTTGAAACAGGCTAATGTGATGTCTGGCAGTATAAAGCTGAAACATGAAATGTTGTGAATTTTTCTCAATTGGCCCTCATTACTCACTGAGCAATCGTAAGTCTGACTGTCCTTGACTAATGGAAAACCTGGTAAAATCCCCACCTGTGGGCTGGGAGGCTCCAGAACTGAGGCAGTATTTCCCTGGGGGGCAAGGGTGGCAGTGAGATGGAGAGGAAGCTCCAGGCTCTGGGAGGAAGCTGCCAACAGGACAGGGTTTGGGTGACCCACAACCCTGAGGACAGAAGTGCCCCATGGGACAGACATCTCCGTAAGGCTGGGAGACAGGAGAAGGCTCAGTGGACCCCATGGAGCAAAAATATCCTGCAGTAGACAATGTGGTTAAACATCTCACTGAAAACACTGCAACATTTACAAGTATACATTAACCGTGTTATTCAGGGGAAACAGTGGCTTAAAGGGAAACTTTGTTCTTTTTCAACCTGGATTTTCTACTATGTTTTTGTAACCAAGTGACTAAGGGGGACAACAATTTTTGAAACTGGTCCAGTATTGAGCGAGAGCACTGCAGCCCTGAAGCGGGCTGTGACATAATCCTTCTGGGCAATAGTGTAATGTCAATGACCCTACAGAGATAGACCTGTTTATAAAAGAGTGAGATCCTGTAAAAAATCTCTAAGGTAACAAAAACAAAACAATTCTCATTTTCAGGTGATTAAACATGCCTATGTTCCATTTTAGCCAATAGAGCCTCCTCAGTATTACAGACTGGGCCTGGTTGAAAAATATATAATAACTTTACCTTTAATACAGTGCAGAAATACAGTATAATGAAAAGATACTCTCATGGTTCATTCCCATCGTGATGCAGGACTGTCAGACCTGGGCTGCAGGGTCCAGACGATTCTGTCAGAGCACTGTTGTTACAGAAGGAGCCAGAGGGGCAGGGGGAGCAGTCAGTCAGGGACGTCCTGCCAGCTGATGGACTGACACTGCCCATCGAACACGGAGATGGCACAGATGAACCCTCCATACAGTAGAAACCTGGGCAAGGTGGTATGTCTCATTTAATAATACATTTCAGTTCACCTTTGTGTATTTTGGTAGTGTTTATACTACAAATGTGAGTGCACAGATTGTGTTGTTTTAATTACCTGGTGGGCAGGTGATACAAGTGGACTGTCCAGAGGAAGACTGAAAAGTGCCAGGGCTACAGATGGCCGGCTCAGCACTACCATGTGGGCATGTGTGGCCAGGCGGGCATTGACATCCTGTGACACAGTCAGATAAAGTTCAAACTGTCATCTGGTGCCTGCTTGTGTACAATGAAAACAAGAGTAATGTGAATATAAAATGCAGTACTAATGTGTTATAGCCTTTTAAATACATTTATGTGGCAATTATCCACAAAAGAAAGCCTGGTTGCTGTATTTCACCATGCCCGATGTGGTACCATGGAAACAAAGCAATGAAGAAAACAGTGACTTTAAGTAGTATTCGCCCTGTAAGAAAATCCTGTGGGAGGCAAGGAGACGAGAAAGCAGGCTCAGTAGCAGGTGCCCTGACTCTGACAGCAACAAGCTGGAGACTCTTTATAGGTTCTGGGCCATTTCATGCTCAAATTAGCAAAACGCCTTCTCGATCAAAGGCGAAAAGGGGACACGGAAGCCTTTCAAAGAATCTCTAGGTGTGCATGTAATATACAAGAAGGAGGAAAGCTCACCTGAGGCATAAAATCACCTCCATGGTGCAGGTAGAGTATGGTTTGTAAAGTAACTGATGAGTTCTAATACGCATCCACAGAACCACTTACTACACCTCCATTTAGGGAGCACACACAAATAATCACTAATAAAATAACAAATATAACACTTTATAGTTACATATTACATTTACATTCACAGACTTACTACAAAGGTGGTTTAAAGTTTAACAACAAAAGCAATAAATGTGTCAAATACACGTTTTCTAGTTTTGAAGTTTTGAAAACATATTTCAAGTTATCTGTATCAACAAAAAGGAAAAGTGGTGTCAAATTATGAAATAGTCACTGTCCAATGAAAAACCATGTATCTCCAATGTTGGTTATTTTCAGCTTTTCATTATGGCTTAAAGGGTATATATAAGATATTTAGAACATTAATATAGCAGCAGACAACTATTTGCTATGTAAATTAATAAATATATATAAATATATAGTGGAGTGAAGGCGTCCTGAACCGAGAATGAGGTCACACTCCCTCTCCCTGTGTTGATCGTCAAGAAGTGATCTTCAAGAAGCTCTCCATGTGTAACTGTGGCTTTGAGGAGAGCATTCGAGATCTGTTTTTCTCATCTTTCTCAGTGAATTAATTATTTATTTCAACCAAACCAGTGTTGGTAAATGTTGGAAACACTAACAAAGATAAGGGTCAGTTTTACTTTCTGTCCACTTTAAATGAAGTTACAATAAAGTGCAAGTTAAAATTACCACTTTTGTCCATGGAGTTTGGTGGCAAGCAAAAATAACAATATAACGGTTGTTTCTGGCTAAACATATGGTCCATCTCTGTAGTGATCTTTTCCATAATTTTGTCAGACACTTAGAGTAACAATCTGAGCCTATCAGTGGCAAAAACCAGCACTGGACATATTTTGACTGGTGCAAGAATTACATTGTGGCCATTAACACATGAGTTAAAGGGTTTATTTTTGATTAAATCAGCATTGGTGATTGTTGGAAAGACTGTGGAAGGACTAACAAAGGTGTTTTGGTGAGTTTTACGATATTCAGCGAGGTAAAATAAGACATAATTTAGTTTAATTATAACCATATCAAAAATGTTTTACAGAGCATGTTGTCTCTGCTAATTGCCATATAACCTGATGTTTATATTTAGCATCATTCCAGAGGACAACCATTTTTGGTTTATAGTATCTACCTTCGGTCAAAATGTGAAACATCATTCATATATGAAGTTGCACTACAGTACCAAACTCATCACGTGAGCATAACTATTTGTAAACCAGACGTAATGTACATGATCAGACTTTGTTTTAAAAAAAGAAAAGAAAATGATGAAGTGCAAAGACTACTGTGGTTAAACCTGAGCTGACCCTACATGATGTGTACTGTACCTGGCTGATGTCCAGACACTGATCCCGGCGGACAGAACCACCCTGGGGGACAGAGGAGGTCGACAGAGGTCTGAGCCCACGAGGGGCAATAAGAACCCGGGTAACAAGCTTTACAGTCGGCTTCAGACTCGGCCGCAGACCTCCCCAAGAAAGTACCTGAGGAGACAAATTATCATGTGAGTAAAAATAACTTCCAATCTTTTCCAATTCTTTTCACTTTTTCTCTCCCCGACACACAGAAGCAAAAAAATATATATAGCATGGGATAACAGTGTCATGTATGCGCACTATAGATAGCTCCATTTATTCACTTGGTTAAGTAGCTAGCTGACCATTATGACAGTGTTATTGGATTCCTATTAAGTTTTACAACCTCCTCTAAAGTTCTGGGTACATTAAGCCATTATATTGTACCTCTGGGGGCTTTATGGTACTGTACAATACCTTTGGAGGCAGTGTAATAAAAAGCAAGAGGTCAGACACATCAGATTATTCAGGGAGATGGATGGGGGCTATTTCTTCTGTGTAGAAACATATTCATGATACATGGTAACAGAAATAATTCCTTCTTCTTTCACAACTCTGGTTTTCTACCTGGAGGACAAGGGCTTGGCTTTGCACTCCCTTTAGGACAATAGTGGCCTGCAGGACACACATCACCATGGAACTGACCCAGGGTTGAATTGCCAGGAAGTGGGAATGGAGATGTGGTATCTCCTGTAACAGAGACAATAAACCTTTATTGGATGTCATTACTCATTAGGTGTCTGAGTGAATTAAAAGGCCAGAGCCATTTTCTGCAATCCCAGGGAGAAAAATACCACTAAGAGAAAGCAATGGGGACTGGTAAATGTTCTGTGGAGACCTCTCCAGCACTGTGGAGTCAAAGGCCATGAAAATGTTAAGTAAAAACAGAAGAGCACTGAGGCAAAATGGTGCACAGCACAGTATTTTTCAGGCTCCTGTTAGATTACCCTTGGGGTTTTTTTTTCGAAACTGTTTTTTTCTAAAACAACCCACAGTGCATGTTGCCATGCCTTTATTAACACTACATAAAGGGAAAGAATCAGACTGTAACCTGTGGTATTGCCCTGAGGTGTGGCCGTTCTGGATCCCTCTGTGCAGTAGAAACCTGGGTCGCAGGGTCCAGATGGGGAGGAAAGGCCAACCTCAGCACAGTAATGGCCAGGCACACAGGACTGACATACTTCTATAGAAACTGCCCCTAGAACACAAAAAATAGTAACAAAAATACAACTCATATGTTTGATTGAAATGATCAAATATAGCATGAATTAGGGTTAAGTGAAATAATTCCACATCATTTGTTTTCAGTAATTATTTTATGATGAAGAAGGGTGGGAAATTCTTACACTGATTACAAAAAATTACACTTAATACTGCCAGTTTAATTTAAACCAGCTATGTGTAATCATTCAGCATTATATGTTACCTTCTATAGAGCTGAAGGTGCCTGCTGGGCAGGGAATCATATAGCTGGTACCCTGGGGGCAATAGGACCCTGCAGAGCAGCGGCCTCCTGTCGGGCCCTCCTCTGGCTGGGCAGAAGCACAACCGTGGATACAGAGGTAACTAGGAGCAGAGAGATGATGAGGACAGAGACAATGGGGAGGGGTATACGGGATTGTAGAAAGTGATAGATGAGAAAGACAGAGGCAGAGACAGAGCATAAGGGAGGTTTAATTATAGACAAGGGATACAGAATTAAACAGAAACAGGATGTCATATCTTTCATAGTCTATCGGTGAACATGATGAAGTGTGTGTTCAGTCTGCCTGTGTTTACCCAGGAGAGCAGACCCCAGTGGGAGCAGCCAGTCCAGAGGAACTGCAATATCTCCCTGGAGGGCAGAGCTCACAGCCCGACTTATTGGACAACCCCATCTGCCTGCTGAAGGCACCAGCTGGGCATGGGAATGCAACACCAGACTGCGTTCCTGTAGATAAATAGCACATAATATCTACAGATGGTCCAGGACTAAACATCACAGAACAGTTTGTGAGGACAATCCTTATCTTGATTATGCTCTATAGTGTCCATTTGCATAATGAGAAAGCCATTTAATGTTACAGCCACTTCAGGAACAAGAGCAATATTCATCAACATTTTGCATGCAATGCAACACATTATTAGATAATTAATCAATCTCACAGAGCCTGCAGCATCACTTGTGTCCCACATATGTATATTTATATCTGATAACATGATCTTATAACATTGTACGTTTGTAATGAATGTGTTAGAATAGCTGCACTATTGTAGCCTACCTGGTGGGCAATAGTGTCCTTTAGGACACAGCGTGGGAGTGTGAGTCCCAGACACATGCCCAGTGTCAGTATCCACTGAGCCGGCACAGTAAAATCCTGCTGGACATTTAACACACTCTGCCTGTGGAGGGGTAAATTATGCACATCATTTTTTTCTGCACAGTACAAACAAAATTATGACTACAGATGTTCACTTATATTAATGGACATGAACACTTTAGATGCTTTGTTGGAGATTTTAAATGCTGAACTATAAACTGTATACATTACACACAGATGTTGAAAAAGATGAGCTTACTGGTGCATTATCTCTTTGCTTGCAGTAGAGCCATAACTTCCCACATGTGCAAATAATAAAGCCACACAATCCATTAAAACCCCATCTTTTATAGGCCATATACAGTTCTCTTAGCACTACTTTGGATCCAGTTTTAGTGTTAAAACATTTTTCAGTTGAGTGTATCAAGCCATATACTGTGTAAGAGAGTACAACAATTACTGCAGGTTATTTTAATTGTGTCATATAGTAGGTGTACCTTGCCATTGAGACTGTAGGACATATCAGGTTATTAGCAGACTATTAATTTGCATCTTTCTCACCTGTCCAGGTAAATCTTGGTAGGTCCCTGGTAAGCAGGGAACCTGTCTATCAGATCCAGGTGGGCACATGTTTCCAGGTGAGCAGGGTATAGAGGACTGCTGGCTGCTGTTTTCTCTACCTGGACAGTAAGAGCCAGCTGGACAAATATGAGAAGGGAAAGAGAGCCCTCTGGTGACACACAGGAAACCTGCAAAACAAAAGGAACACCACATTCATTGTGTGAAGGGATTATCCCCAGATAAATCACGTTATGTAATGGAAGCCTTATCTTTTGGCAGATAAAAAGACACATAATTAAATTCTACTGCCTGCAACAGGTGCTAAGGTGGTTCCAACCTGGAGGACAAGGCAGGCAGTCGGAGAGATGACTGTTTCTGGTTTTGTTGCTGTAATGTCCTATGGGGCAGGGCAGTGGTGCTGAGGAGCCCTGGGGACAGTAATAACCTTCAGGACATCTGTCACCTGTCGTCCCTCCATCCTCTGGTGTGGGTGACCAGGCCCCAGAGAGACAGTAGTACCCTGCACTACACTGGCCTGATGCAACACCCTTCCCAGGGGAAGCACAGAAGGAGCCTGGTTTCATGGGGAAAATAAGTGAAATAGAAGATGACCCTGAATTATCCTGCAAAACAGCAAATGTAGTCAAAACAAACACTGTTTAACTGTATACTGTATTAATCCCAGTTGATAGTATTTATCTGATTATTTTGCTGCTTTACTGTCAAGGTCATTGTAAACCCTGATTCAACTACTTCACATTAAGGAAACTCATGATCATTAGCAGTAAATGGTGTGTGACCTGGAGGGCAGGGCAAGCAGTCCCGGGGTTTTGCCATCCGAGTGTGGGGGTTGATGGATCCAGCTGGACACGGGTACTGGTGTTTGGACCAAGTCCCGGCCAGGCAGTAGTGGCCCACTGGACACTCGTAACTCCTCGACAGAGAGCCATTACGTCTGCCTGGACAATAAAAACTATGCAGACAAAACAACGATGGAATAATTTAGTTCTTAGCTGCTGCTGCTGGCAGTGGGGCAGGGATGTATTTATGTCTGTGTGTGTTTATATATGTATGCAAAGCAGGAATAAAAATCATTTATGCATGTTAACACATGCATGTATGTATAGTTACAGTTCTTTCGTAATCCATCATACTTATGTGTAAAAAAGTGTATATGTTTACGGTGTAGACTGACTGTGTGTGGCTGATAAGAGAGTTTACCCCTGGGGACAGTTGCTGCAGCTGGCTTGGCCATCTTCTGTACTGATGGTTCCCAGGGGGCACTGCTGAGGAGCCACAGAGCCCTCAGAACAGTAATAACCTGGTTGTGTGAAGACAAGAGTCATGAAAAAGATGCACACTCAAGCACACACACACATACAGACACGCACAATCCACAGGGGACAGGGTTCCGTTTCCAGTGTCAATAGAGCAGCTGCTTATGTTTAGCCCTATTAACTTGAAAGAGTGTTTTGTTTACCTGTTCACTAAGCTGGCTTTGGGCTCATGAACATTTTAAACTTAATTTTTTGCTTAAAAATTCATATTTTGTTTTATATTTCCTACAATGCCATTCAAAGTATAGCTTTGCTGCTGTTTACTGTCTAAACAATAGCTACCTAATTACATTATCCCCATTTTTGTCTTTGTGTATTTCATTTCTTTGGAAAATGTGATCCAGATGTCTAAATTCTGAGGGACCTTTTGGGCACGGTCCTCCCCGACTGTCTCTCAAAGGAGGGTCAGGACGATCTGCACCCTCCAGACAGAAGAAACCGTCCCAGCATTCCCCTGAAGGGGATGAGAGCCCCACAGCATCACAATAGTAACCAGGGAGACATGGCTGGCAATCCTCCTGAGAGGGGAAATGAAAGTGACAAAGAGAGAGGAAGGAAGAGGGGGAGAGAAAGACAGAGGCTGTAAGAAAATGAAAAAAGAGAGAGTGCCTCGTTGCAGCATTGATTTGGGATTAGATATTGATCAGCTGTCACAATGAAAGACAGAAAAAACATTGTAAGAGTTACTGTATATACTGTATAGGTCTGGTGTAGCAGGACTGCTGACCATAAACCTGTGTCACAGAAATTTATATGATGCTGAGATTTTTCAGAATTAAATAATAATATAGGCTAATAAAAAATAAGACAGAACATGACATAAATGACAGATAAATAATATAAATGCATAGACAAAATATATAAACCTGAAACTAAACAGCTTTTTTCACATTGACAGCAGTTTTTTATCTTAAAATGTTCTTCTCCAAAGTCAGCTTTTATTTCTCAGTGTATTTTTAGTTTTATTTCATAATGAATAAATCAAGACAGAGCCAGTTACGAGACTGGCTGTTGCTACGATCTTAAGGAATATATACTGTGTTTTGTCTTGTATTCATATTCTTATGATTATTTATTTCATGTGTTATGTATCACAAAGATCCTGAAATATGCTTTTTTAATCAAAATGTTCACAATTCACAAAACAAAACAAAAAATTGTGTAATTTTTAGTGGGAGACTTCTCTCTCCATCATTGTCAAGGAGACATGTGAGTGCAATATTGAGTAAAAGCAACCTGGGAGACTAATTTGGTGAGATTAGAGAATGTTCCTTGTGGACAGGGCAGAGGATGGATGGTGGCCTGGGGGCAGTAATGACCGGCAGGACATGGCCCTCCCTCTCCTGGTGAAAGACACAGAGTACAGCTGCCATTTGTTAACCATCTCAAAATAGAAATACGGATGAAGAACCACTTCCACAGATAATAGTAAGGCTGACAATTAAATTTTCTCACATATTTTCTCACATATTATACTGTAGTGTATTTCCTGAATGTGTGAAAATGCAGTACATGTCTGGTAAAGATGTTTACCTGCAGCCTGTGAGAGAGGTTGCGGAGAGGTGTTTCCATGTGAGCAGTAATATCCTTCCTGACATGGTCCAGTGACAGCTGTGCCATTTCTGGAAGAGCAGTAATGGCCGCCGTCACACTGCCTGCACTGAGAGACAGACCAGTAGCCTGGGTCAGGGCCGTAAGTTCCCTCCGGACAGCCTCTCAAGTCAAATCCAGTTCCCTCTGGGCAATAAAAACCTGCAGGCCAAAGAACAAACAAATTAAAACCAAAAATATGAAGAATACAGAAAAATTGGGTTTAATTGTTGGCTAATTGTCACACACATCCCAGTAGCAGTTTTTATTTTATAGTATTATTTTACTTGATAATTTCCTAAAATTAGCATACAAATGAAAATGTAACTGATTTTAAGGTCATACAAAATAGCAAACCACAAACCTGCAGGACACAAGTACAGAGAGCCAGACACACAGTACCAGCCTAGCACACAGGGCTCACACTGAGTAGCGTGTGTAACAGCGACATATGTCCCTGGATCACAGGGAACAGGTTGAACAGTTCCCTCTGGGCAATAGAAACCCTCAGGACAAGGTCCCCCTGTAATGCCATCAGTAGGGGTGGATGTGACAGCTCCCTCTACACAGTAATAGCTGCATAAGAAACATTAACACAAACAAAACTCACAGACAACACAGACACAGACAGCAGAAATTTGTTCAAGTTATGTGCACAAAGGCAAGTGATGGCTAGTTTTAAAACCTTTGATCATAAGATGGATGGAAAGTACTTTTTCATGAGTTAGTCGTTAATAATAACAAAGACACAAGTTGATTTATTTCTAAGTTTAGAAAAGTCTGCTGTACCTCTTACTGCAGGGTCCACTAGGTTTAGTGAGGCCGGTAGAGTCACAGTAAAATCCCCCCAGACAGGGTTGGCAGTCCTCCTGGATACGCAGGCCTGAGCTGTTTGACCAGCTTCCTTCAGGGCAGGCCACAGGAGCTGTGGCGCCTGTAAAGACGACACAAGCTCACATTTCAACTCCAGTAAACAGAAGAGTGTGCAGAAAACTATTCAAAAACTATCAAATATGACAATGCAGTTATTGGGTTTGGCAATACAATATACTGTGATGATGTTTTACACACTATAAGCAAAATTTAAGTGCAACAAAATAAGTCAGACACTCTTATAAAGAATCCATTGCTGCGTGCAGTTTTGAGCAACTCGGGACGAGGCAGAGTTTACCCTACAGCAGCATTTTTAAGCATGGGTCAGTGCCCAGAGTCAGAGGGAACAAGTGTACAAATTAATTTGAAGAAAACGGTATCAAAAGTACAAGATAAATGTTGTCAGAATTTCCTGTAGGCCACCAAATGGTAATTAGCATGAATAAAACATTGTAGCCCTTGAACATAATATGGTAGAATGTTAATAGCCTCACAGAGTATAAATTTGGTTAAATTAGTCTATAAAACAACCTGCATCAGCATTGGATTACAAAAAAACATTATTTTGAAAATGTGGACCCCCTACAATTTTATAGATTTTGGGCATTAAGAGTATAGCAGCACTGAAACAGCTGCTGCTGCCTGACTGCTTATTGAGTGACGACCAGCCAGTAACCTGAGGGGCAGTATTGACCGGGCGGACAGAGGGAACCTGAGAGTCCATCCAGTGGGCTGGGAGAAGATGCTCCCTCTCTGCACCAATAACCAGCATGGCATGGTCCTATGGGTAGAGGAATATCACAACACATTATCATCACACAGTTATGTGGCTAAATGTTTTAATAGGCTCATTGAATGGTAATTGAATTATGACTATGATTAAAATCCAAGCTCTCCCAATTAAATGTTTTTTTTACTACTGTCTCATTAACATATCCATGTTTATTACAGTGAAGCTAAAGACCAAGATACCTTAATCTAACCTATAGCCCATATACATGCTAGATAGTAAATCCAAAGCTATTTTACACTAGAGTCAAGTTAAAGAAAGTGTTATGTAATTTGCAACCACCCCTTGACAGTGAATATTTAAAATGAAAAACAGGGGAAGGGAATCCGATTCTGAACTTACATGAACCCCTCTAACTTATTTAACAACACATAATGAAGCTCATAAGATTGTGGAAGTTTGTTTGTTGGAATTAGAGTAAAATGTTTAAAGTAAAGCTAAGAAATAGTAGGCACATGGCAGAAGAGAAGAGAAGAGAAGAAATCGCTCTCGTTCCCACCTGCTGGCTCTGACAGTCCCACAGAAGGACAGTAAAGTCCAGCAGCACATGGCATGCAGCCAGCAAGGCTATGTGTGCCCTGTCTCGGGTTGAAGGAGCCTTTGGGGCAGGGGTGCTGGTTGGGCAGGGCTGTACCTGCAGGGCAGTAGTGTCCTTTAGGGCAGGGCCTCGGCAAGGAGGCATTGCCTAGTCTCAAATCACAGTAGTAACCTTGAAAGAAGAGTTATGCATATTTTTAAATTAGCACTGCCAGTAAGAACAAGAAGACTTGATGATGGAAAAACACTTAAACCTATATTTATAGAATATTTATTAACAAACTTGCAAAGTACAGTGAAAAAAGTGCATGTGAACAAGCCATCAACATAACAATAATTAAAAAATTGCTGGGTTGCTTGAGAGCTGTTTTCATTACTGCCTGTTCAGCTAAACACAAATGGCACAAGGCTAAACATTATTTTAAAAAAGACAAGAAATATATGCTTCTGCTGATAAGGTAACAAGAGTAAAGATGGCTCCTACCTGCCTCGCAGACAGTGCAGGCTGCCTGTTTCTCTCTGTCCTGGTAGGTTCCTGATGGACAGGGATCTGGAGCTGCACTACCCCGTAAGCAGAAGTGGCCTGGAGGACACGGCAGAGCTGTAGCCACAGTCTGACCAGGAGGACACCAATAACCTACCGAGGTGACAGAGAGAACAATTCAGTAAAGCATATCATACACAAATAACTTTATGAACCAAAACTACCAAACACCAAACTACCAAAAAGTTTTATAATACCAAGAAATTATGACACAGTGTATGGACTGACCTTGGCTGCAAGGTCCAGTTGGAGCCCTGAGACCTGCTCCTCCACAGTGGAAACCTGCGGTGCAGGGCTGACAGCCAGCCTCACTGGTTAGACCTGGCACGGGGGAGAAAGTACCAGCTGGACACAACTCTGGCTCTCCTGAGCCCACAACTGTGGAGAGAAACAGTTGGAGTAGTCATTCATTCATCTAATCTTTCTGTGCCTTTACAATGCACATGCCTATTCTGGGCTGTGGGGCACGAAGGCTTATACCAGGATACACTGGGCAGAAAGACCCCCTACGCAGGTCAACACAAATAGACACAAGATGACTCACACTCAGGTAATTTAGGGTGTCCAGTCCACCTGAGTCATAGCTACAGCTACTTTAGAGCCTCTAGTCAACCTAATTTGCATGTCTCTGGGCTTTGAGAAGACACTAGAGAATTGTAAGAAAAATCCAATGTTGAAGTCTTGGGCCTTTCTTGCTATAAAAAAGAATTCCAAACTAAGATATGATCAGACTTTAAAGAATCTTATGTAGTGTGGGTTAACTCTCTTTCTGCTCTTCAATTCTGAGTGGCAGACATCAAAAGCTAATGTGTGGTGGTGATATTATGGATGATTAAATTGTTCTTTCAATTAAACTAATTTATCAGTAACTAAAATAAAAGCATTATGTCATGCATCTGTGGACTCGATATACTGTTCATTTCACCAAGCACTTTACTATACAACTATTAATAGGCTTAAAAACTTTGTTGGCACGTTAGTGATACAACCGTTCCAAGGCAGCAAAGCAGGGCTTACCACAGTATGTCCCAGGTGGACAGATGCTGCCTGTTTCTCCATCTGTTGGTCTGGCCTCAGTGGCTCCTCCTACACAGTAATACCCAGGGGAGCAGGGACCCATTGGCAGAGCCAAACCTTTTGAGCAACATAAGTAATTTTGTTATTTGTATTTTATAAACACAAAAAATATGACATATACGTTGCCTTGACAGCGACATCCCTTTCAGCAGAATAATGTATGAGCCCTCAAAAGGCCTAGAATTAAATTCCCAGTTCACTCTTTATGCCTACTGCACTATCATCTCAATAAAAAACAGATGATATGAAGTGGATTTGTCATAGCGTAAATATATAAGCTGGAACAATAACTGGAACAAATGAAAAATTAAATCCAGTGCCATATATCCACCTCAAAATAACATTTCCATCATCATAGTGCAACAGAAATACATGCAAATTTTCCATATATTTATAATATTTAGTGTAAGATCTGGCATAATATACTTAATATAAAACTCAATAGACATTCATATATTTTGTAATATCATTCTTTTTCAAAAATGTGTCTTTCTGTTCTTTCAAATATATATTGTACCATATTTTAAGTCTCTAAGGTGCATGACCATGAACAGCAACATCTCTAGTCTTCTGTTAAATGTGATTTAGCTTTACTTTACAAACACTACAATATGTTGACTGTTTAGTTTCACTTTTTGCAAGTTCTAAGTGATAACTTATTTGTGATAATCAATCACCTGTGTTTGGTTGGAATGAAAACCAGTATTCTCTTGGAGAACCATACACCACTGACATGCTGACTGTAGACTAGCAGCCAGTGTGCATGAGTATCCAAATACCTGAGATGTTACAGAAGGCTCCGGGTGGACAAGGAAGGGGCTCTTGGCTACCTAAGGGGCAGTAAAACCCCACCTGGCAGCGCCCCAGTGGAGGTAGCTGGACAAAGACAGTTGGCATTTGTGTAATTGTCCAGGTCAAAAGGTTGGGAGTTCCATGCTGCTGACACACAGAACCAACCTGAAAGGAACAAACACAGCAAGAGAGAGATTAATTTCAATTCTGTGATATACTAATGTTAACACTCTTGCTGCTGACACGCTGTAGCATCACATGATGAATTTCTCAGCACAAGGTGAAAGAAAATGCTCAACAAAGAAGGAAGATAGCAGACAAGGTGAGACAGATGAGTCACTGATAATTAAAAAAAAAGATTTAATAAAACAGGTAGCTACTGTTTTAATATCTGCCACAGCCTTGTGTGCATTAGGTGGTTGGCATATGGAGCCAAGCTGTTTGCACCTTTGAACATAAATAAATAATATACAGGGAATTATCTAAAAGCTGTTGTTGTGGAAATGCTGCTGAGTAAACGTGTGAGGAGAGGAGAAGTAAAGTAATGACTGATGTGGCTTGTGTCGGTTTGTGATGTTTCGTGCTTAATGTGCACTCTTTGTTCCCTACCCCCAAGTCTTCCAGGCTGCTTTGGACTGGCTTGCCGGCCCCTAGAGACAAATAGGGCCGGCACAGAGGACAAAGTCCTGACACTGAGAAACTAGTCTGTATTGCTGTGATTGTATCTTTGGTAGAAATAAACAAAGACACTATTACTGACCAGCCTTGCATTTTCCAGACACTTTGGTCAGCCTCTCCTTCTCACAGTAGTGTCCTGGAGGACAAGGCAGGCAGCTGTCCAGACTCTGAGTCATGGGCTCTGGGTTGTAGTATCCACGAGGACAGGGAAACTGGGTGGCATGCCTTGTGCCTATGCATATGACACAATTAGATTTCAAACAAGTGCTACATGCTATATCTGTGTATACATTTTTACCTGTATAGTAAAAGCTGAGACAATATTTTAGTACAACAAGAAGCTAATTTATAATGTTAATATCTGCTTCTTTAGAGGCTAAACTGGATTTAGACTATGTCAAGCTTTTTTAAGAAATTCATGTAGGAACACAACCATGACTGATAGTGTTTTGGATGAGTCTACCATCAGGGCAGTAGAATCCAGGGGGGCAGGGGAACTTGGTGAAGTTGCCAGTCTTTTCTGCACAGTAATATCCAGCAGGGCAGCGGGAACACACTGACTGGCCTGGGAGGTTGGTGTAGGTCCCAGCTGGGCAGGGCACCGGGCCCGCACTACCCTCTGGGCAGTAATGAGCTGGTGGGCAAAGACCTCCTTCTGAGCCTGGAGAGGGAAAAACAATTAGATGTGGTAAATTACTGAGATTATGACTGCTAAGCCCTTAATGTGGTGAATCCTGTGATAAACCCTGATTAATTCAGTAATCATTCATTCAACAAAACACCCTCACACATTCAGATTTCCTGCATTTATCACCATGTGTTGCTCCTCTATCTGATTTCTCTCCTCCTCTCTCCATTACATTTGCTCTGCTCTACACTACTTCTATGTTCTACAGTCATTATTAATCATTGCTTAATTAACTTTTAAAATCATTGTGCATTGCATATTTGAAGATGGATGAACTAGGTTAATCCTGCAGAAAAGATGGTACAAATGAAGTTAACGTCTCATAAAAAAACATAATAACTTAATATTTTGCCTTTCTACCTGTGGTTGTTGTGTCTCCTCCTGGACAGAAAAACCCTGCTTGACACAGTCCAGATGGACGAGTGAGACCTGCAGTGCCACAGAACTGACCCGCTGGACATGGACTGCAGCCAAAGGTGTCTATCAGATGAAGACTGTAATCATACACATGTAAATACATGCACACACAAACATACACAGTTACTGTATATAGTAAAACAAAAAGGTTAACTGATTAGTGTGCATGTAATATTTGGGTCGACCAACCTGTTAGAGTAGGTTCCTGGTGGACAGGGCAGTGGGAGACTCGTGCCCTCAGGACAGTACCTCCCCTTTGGACATGCTCCTCCCACTCCTGTGCTGAAGTTCCCATCTGGGTTCTGAAAGTTTACACCTTGAGAAGTTGCACATTTAAGATAAGTTTAGTGGTCAACTTCAGTTTAGTAGCACACTTTCCCTTTTGTAAAGTAGCAGGTCTTTCAGTTAGGCAGTAGTGATAAATGGTAATACTGCTGGGTAATAACTGCGCTAGTATTATACATGTAACACACCTGCTATGCAGTAGTAACCAGCTTGACAAGGGCCAGTAGGTTCAAACAGACCCCAGTCCTCACAGAAGAACCCTGTTAGCACAGCATGAAGAATGTAAAACATCCCTGCAGCACTAATAAGACACTGGATTTATCAAACGGTTAATTGTAAAGCCTATCACATTAAATAATATTCCTCCTCTAGATAATTAAATATGATAAAACATTCTATTATTGCTTTTTATTCAAATCAATTAGTTCTAACCAAGCTAACAAAAAAAATGACATGGTACATTAAAACTTGATTCAGCTCACTAAACATTTCATGAAAGACTTTGCAGTCTCTTGCAGTGCAATGAAGAAAACCATGTGACAATACTCTCACCTGCTGGACAAATGAGGCACTGCTCCACTTGGCTGAGGCCAAGCTGAGGGCTGTATGTGCCAGGAGGACAGGGCAGGATACCCTCAACACCCCCACCGAGACAGTAGTGTCCTGCTGGACAAGACTGAACACCTTCTCCTGACAGACAGTAGGTCCCTGTGGGGCAATCTTCACATGCTTCTGTCCCTTCATCCAAAAAGAAATTAATAAAATAGTGAAGTAATGCCTGCAGTTTTGTATTTCAAATCATGATACTTGATATGTTATGCAGTTCCATGAAATGTATTGTCTGTACCTGTAGTGTTCGTGTACATCCCATCAGGGCAGACTAAAGGAGAAGTTGAGCCCATGGGACAGTAGTGTCCAACTGGACAAATGTCCCCATTAACACCATCTGAGGGCATTGAAGACACAGCCCCTCCCGAACAGTAATAACCTATAAATCAGTAGATACAAAATGTACTGACAAAAGTGATGATGCTCTCTTGACCGAAAATTGTTCTGTTTGTTTTCAAAAATAACAGTTTAGAAAAGTCAGTGGACAAACACACCTCATCTCAGTTATATGAATAAAAGGTTATTCTGCCTTTACTTTTTCATGTTTTAAACTGTCTACATATGCAACAGTTTAAAAACATGAAACAATGCTTTAAAACACCAAGCTTCTTTCTTAAATTGTACTAACTTGATAATTAATTCCCATACCTGTATCACAGACTCCTGAGGGCTGGCTGAGTCCAGTACTGTTACAATAGAGTCCTGGGGGGCAGGGCCAGCAGGAGGACAGGTTTTGGGCTCCCACAGTGCTGCTCCAGGTTCCTACAGGACAGGGGTGCTGCTGGGGGTACTTGGTCCCTCGTGGACAGACGTAGCCCGCAGAACACACGCCACCAGAGGCCATGGCCACCTGTGAGGATGTTGGAGTTATCATCAGAATATTAAAAAGTTTGATAATTTTGGCTTACAGTTATAGTTAGAAGTTTAAAAGTTAAAGCTGTGGGCAGTTTCAGTTGGTAGCTGTCATTCATTTCCCACGCACTACCAGCAGCATATCCAAAAAACACTTAGGAGAAAATAATTATTTATTTAAGCAATGCAAACTTGAACTAAACATGGCTCTAAAATTCATATTCATATCCAATGACAGAAAACGCTTTAGCAGTCAAAATGTGTGGGAAATTAATAGCTGCCATCACATCAAATACACAGCTTTAACTTAGAAAGCAGAAATATTCAACTGAAAAAAAATAAGATATTTCCACTTTTATTGCCTCACATGAGCAAAACCAAGTTAGTACATAGCAGACAAAATGTCAAACATTTTACTATCATCATATATCATTCAGAAACACATGTACACATGACATGCATTAGAGGCATATTTTCTGCTAAATCACCACATATTCAATTCAAACACTGAAATGTAGGTTTCAATAGAATGTGGTGATTGTGTTTATTCTCTCATTCTCTGTGCACAACCTCAGATACTTGTGTAGAGACACTTTACACAAAGAGAGGGTAATGAGAGTAAATACTTTGTGTTACACTACTTTAAAACCACTCCTAAAAATGCTTTCATGTAATCATGTTTCTCTTTATTGTTTGTCATATGTTATAGTATTTAGTTTTTACTATCTGCTCTGTCTTGGATAAGCTGCTGGCAGTCAAGTTATTAGAGTTGTCATTCATCTTACTGGAGAGGCAGTGGAGGCTCCAGAGGTGCAGTAGTGTCCTGGGTCACAGAGATCCTGAGGGTTAGAGAGACCGGCTCTGCTACAGAACCAACCAGCCTTGCATGGCTGACAGTGCTTAAGAGCATCGCCACCAGGCTGGTCAGAGTAAGAGCCCTGAATAATTGGATAGGATAATTGTACAATGTTAATTATGTGAATTTGAATTAGGGTAAATGCAATTCATGAAGCCTAAGTGCAAAAGTAAGAATAACAACTAACATGACTGACTAATAAGACACAGCTGAGAGGAGAGTGAAGAACAAGGACAAGCTGCTGGATTGACATTCACACCACACTACATACATACTAACACAAGAATACTTACTGGAGGACAGGGTTGAGCAAGAGAGGACCCTGGAGGACAGAAGTGTCCTGTGGGACACAGTAGTGACTGGGACAAGCCTGTCTGGTTACACATTCTGCCTCCCTGACATTCCACACATAATTGTGCACCTCGATGCTGTGGAGGATTTATAGACAAGGGAACAACCTTGAACATGACTTTATTTCATTATTTAATTTTAACAGCACACTTTCAGTAGAGATACACGTATTATTCTTTGTGGATTATTTCCTACCGGCTGAAAAGTGCCCAGAGGGCATGGTTGTGCGCTGGCTGCCCCCTCCAAGGTATAATAACCCTCCTGTGCTTCATTCTGAATGGGCGATGCTGAGCCACCGGTACAGTAGAAACCAGGAAAACAAGGGCCTGAAGGTAAGGTGTTGTTGGAGCCTAAGCAATAAAAACTGACAGGGAGAACAGGGAGAGTTGACACAAAGTATAGAGGGTTCTATTTTACATGGTCCTCTTAAATAAATAGGCTGATATCTGAGTGGCATTACCCCGGTGGACAGCTGACACACTCCTCAGGTCTGCTGAGGCCAGTGCTGTTGCTAAAGGTGCCAGGGGGACAGGGGAAGGGAGAGGACGAAGCTTGAGGACAGTAACTTCCTGCTGGACACAAACCTCCCGTTGACCCATCCACAGGAGTCTGGACACAGTTACAGTACATGAAGAGAAGCCAGAATGTACTGTAGTGAAGTAATTTAATTACTAAAGTAATACAATGTAATACATAACAGTGTAATGGTTCATAATAAGTCATCACCACACCACCGTGTAAACAAGTGTAATGTAAGTGAGTCACTGACATTTAAAGTTTTTTTTTATCTTTTTGCGGTATCGCTTCTTAAGAATATAAAGTATTTGGATGTTATTATGAATTTCACTGAATGTATCTGTGGACCTCAGGAAGAATAGCAACCACTTTTTGGGGATAAAAACATATAAAGAAAAGAAGAAAGAATGAATGACAAAAAACTTCTATTTAATAAATTATCCAAATATATAATTTTCATACTGAAGACTTGGCTCCCTCTCTACAGTAGAAGCGCTCTTTGCAGCTTCCAGAGGGCTCTGTGAGTCCCACACCAGAGCAATACTGGCCTCCACCACAAGGGGCGCACTCAGACCCATCACTGAGAGCTGAGCGTGAACTGTAGGTTCCCTCAGGACACGGTTCAGGAGTAGAAGTGCCTTCTGGACAGTAAAAGCCCTGTTAATAGAATGACGGACAGAGAGAAAGAGATTTCATGCATTCTTGAAGGCAGGCTACTCATCAGTGGAACAACACAGTTTTCCAGATATTCCTACCTGAGGACAGACTAGTGGCATGTGAGTCCCCAGTCTGTCACAGTAATGCCTGGATGGACATGACACACACGCCTCTCCACTGTGACCAAGTGTGTTGTTCCTATATTGGCCAGCCTGACAGGGGTAGGTGTAGGGGTAGCCAGTTCCTAGGGGGCAATAGTGGCCATAAGGACACACCCCTGTCTGAAATATCACAGCATACAAAATAATTATGTCACAAAAAGTGTAAGTAGAAAAAACTCTAATAAGATCCTTGACTATATATGTTCATCTTAAATCCTGCACATTATTTGGATCTTACAGGGCTGGTAATAGGCTGTTCCTGAGGCTGCTGGGAGTAACAGTACTTCCCCTCAGGGCATTGGACACACTCGCTGGCATCACGCAGACCAGGAAGTTCACTGTAGGTACCATTGGGGCAAGGAATGGGGTTGGGATCCTATGAAGGAAATTGCATTTGGAGGTAGTTTAATTGACTACGTCAGTATTTTAATTGAATAAAATTAAATAAAAAAAATAATAATTTTGCTGTATCATTCTTTGACTCACAATGCCTCCTCCGGGGCAGTAGAAGCCTCGAGGACAGAGTGTGGCTGAGCGCTGGGGCTCTCTTGCCAAACCCTGAGAGCAGAGGAAGCCTGGGGGGCACACCATGACGCTCAACATGGCTTCCTCACTAGTGGTCTCATCACTGCAGTAGTGGCCCTGCAGGCATGGAGAACACTCCAAAGAGCCCTCGTCCTACACACAAGAGAACGTGAAATAAGATTCAAAGAGTTGAAGTTAAAGATATCAACCAGTATGGGGGAGGGACAGAGCAAAATACAGACTGAAAACTCGAGGGAGACGAGAATCGAACTTGGAAGATGCTGGAAAAACACTGATACTTCTTCAATATTGAGAGCAAAAGATGAACTATTATAAAATTTGACTTTAGCTACTTCTCTTGCTGACATTTACAGATGTACATACATGATGAGTAATGTAAGACGATACCACTGTGGGCGGAAAATGCTAATCTAAAAATAGCAATCAGAACTCAGAATTGCTTATGGAAGGACGAGGCTAATACACCAGCTCTGGTTTCCACTGGCTCAGTCAGTTGACCAGTCACAGTGGACTATGTTATAGATGGAGCCTTACAGAGTAGCTGCCAGCTCCACACACTCTTGGGTTGACAGTGGCTGAGTGGGGACAAAAATAGCCAGCAGGACAAGCAGAGCAGTCCTCCAGCCTTCGACCTCCTTTCAGACGGCGAAATGTAGAGCTGGAGAAAGACATGACAGAGTGGATATACTAAATCATACTTATTACACAACCTCAATTCTTCATTTGACCCCATATAGCAAATGATCTTCTTTTCGACATTAGACACACAGTTACTGCTTACGGTGGGCACGGTGAAGGTTTGGAGGTGCCCTGTTGACAGGATGAGCCTTCAGGACAAAGCAGGCAGTCTTCTCTGTATCTGTTGCCCATTTGGATGCTGTAGGTGCCCGCAGGACAAGGAAACTGGGTGCCATATGCTGTCCCTGGTGATGCAACATCAAAATGGTTATATTCACATGAATGACTCATGATAACCGCTCTAGAAGAGAAAAACAAATCTTATTTTATTGACTACATTTCACATGGAAAACTGTATTCTAGTACTAATACTAGTCTGTAACGGCTTGTAAAGCAAAACATTTAATCACTTTAAACATTGTTTGTGTGTTAGATTTTAAACTACAGCAGTAAACAAACATATTAATTTAGTTAAGATACTATCTCCATTACCACTGATGTCACATTCATGTGTACCTTCAGGACAGTAGTGTCCAGAGCTGCATCGACCTGACGGAGCTCCAGACCCAGCCAAACAGTACCAGCCCTTTGGACATGGCTGGCACTCCCTTTCAGCTTCCAATCCACTGTGACCACTCCATGTTCCCACAGGACACTTGTACTGGGTGGGAAACATAGTTCCAGGGGGGCAATAATGCCCTGCAAAGCAGGAGAGTGGTGGTCTCTGGATACCACCAGTTCCTGATGAAGCATAAGTAATTTAGACAATCAAGGTGGGAAAACAAGCTCCAAGCTATGGATTGTATTCATATAAAGTAGACCTAGGTGACAGAATCAGATATAGGGCTGCACGATATGGTAAAAACATCATATTGTTATTATTCTGACAGATACTGCGATTGTGATTCATGATTATGTGGGAATGATTCACCAAAAAAAAAACTATTAAAATCATGATGATGGTACATTTTTGGCTGTCTGTACCAACTAACCATGTTTTCTTAAATCTGTTGAACAAGCTTTGCAGACCACAGTGTTTCTGAAGCACCACAGTACTTCATTATAATGCTGTTTTGTCACACATTTTACTTTCATCCAAACATTATAGCTCCCTGCAATCTGCATATCGCACTTGGCCATATTGCGATTTCGATAATATTTTGATTAATTGTGCAGCCCTAATCAGATACTATGATGTGTAACTACCTCACTAGTAGTGATAGCAACAGGTCGACTCATTTCACAAAATATCTATTATATTTATTTATCACTATTCAACATCAATAACTAAATCCATTTATTTTGATACTATGAAATAAGGCCAACTCAGCATATAAGTATAAGTGTGAAAGGTAAATGGCACCTCGAAGACAGGCATATCGTGCCGGGCACTGCTGACACTGTGAGCGGTCAGTGAGATCAGTGCGATTGCTCAGTGTTCCTGGTGGGCAGGCATTGGTTGGCGCGTTGGGTTTGGAGGAACCAGGGGGACACACAAACCTATCAAGAATCAGGCAAACTGATTATAATTATAGAGCTACAATTTCAAGGCAATTGCAGGCAAGATTACACAAATGCCTTTGCAAGAGATTTTATTTTACAGACTGTGAAAGTCTCAGTATTCGTTCAAATCAGATTTATGGTATCAAAAACACAAATTTACAGTGTCACTGAAGCCTGCCTGAAGGAGGATCTGAAGCAGTCTCTCACCCTTGCATGCAGTCCACATCGGGGGCTCTCAGAGCTACCTGAGTGCAGGCCTTCCCTGCATAGCACTCCCTGCAGTCAGCCAACTCATCCTGACCCTCTAAGGGGTTAAAGAAGCCTGGTGGACAGGGAACAGGGTCGCTTGTCCCTTCAGGGCAGTAAAAACCAGCCGGGCATTTGAGACAGTCCTTCACGCCTGGAGGGAACAGTTCAGACATGTTGTTCTCAAGACTAATGTACATATAGAATAACTTTACTGTTAGATTAATTTTAAAGTATCAATTTGAGTTTTGCTGTGTACCCATATTGTGTAGTCCCTGCTCATGTAACACATAGTCAAGTTTCCCTTGTTTCTCGTCATCCATTATTTTTTCTGTACTGAACTCACAGCTCCAGCTTGCCATCGACAGTTGTTTTTTTATGCTAAAAATCTCTCTTTGCCCTCTTGGCATCCATCTGTTGCAATTTCTCATCCATATATTCCGGTACTTCATGGGAACTAAGCAACACTTTTATCTTTATATAATCACTAGGTTTTGCCATGATAGACTGCTTTAGCGCTATAATAGTTTAAGCTGAGCTGCAAAGGGACTGTGGGGCTGTTCCCAAATAACAATTTCACTTATGTATGCAGGGGAAAAAAAATAGTGTGAATATGGTAAGTATAAAACAGTAATAATACAGAGTATAAACTCACTTATTGCTCCTTGATGAGGGGTGAAGGTGCCTCGAGGACATAACACTTCTTTCAAGCCAGCAGGACAGTATCTCCCCCGAGCACAGGGCAAGCCAGGCCCAGATGAGCCTGCCATGTGCACACACACACACACCCACATATGCATAACGTAGAAAATGGAACAGTGGGCAGTGCATTCTGCACATTTCACCTCTAAAATGTATCTTCTACTGTGACATGTTTCTTTTAGTATTCCTGTATTTGTGGCTTCATTGAAGTCAGTGTGTTAGTGCTAAGACTTACCTGCAGGACAGAAGCGTCCTTCTCTACATCTCTTGCAGGCTGCCCTACTTGTCTGACCCAGTTGTTCCCCCGCTGTACCAGCAGGGCAAGGTGACCCATGAGGAGTGGCGGTGCCCTCCTCACAGTAATAGCCTTGTGGGCACAGGAACTGGGAGGTGGGTCGCTGTGAGGTGCCTTCCAGACAATAAAACCCTTGAGAAAAGTATTTATAGGTAACTTCATAAGGAGTTTTTTTTTGATGACGACATGATAAACAATTAGCAAGTAAAACTGACTGATCAGGCTTGAGAAACTGTAACTGAGTTGGTAGGTTTTATATGTACTGATATGATTGAACATATTATATTTTTGAGTATAACAATATAGAAGGTTTGCCACTGGATTTTCTACCTGCAGGACAGATTGTGCAGTCTGTCAGCCTCTGTAGACCTTCTTTAGGGCCATAAGTCCCTGCAGGGCAGGGCAAAGCTACACCTCCCACACAATAATGACCTGGGGCGAAGGAAAAACATGTACAAATACATATTAGGCTTCTTCCAGGAGGAATTCAAACTGGAATATAAATGGCAGTGTGCAGTGATAGACACTAACCTACTGGACAGACCACACATGCTAACTCTTCCCTTGTATCTTTGTATGTTCCTGGTCGACAGGTGATTGTTTGACTGGACCTTTGGACCGGCTGGCTCCAGCGGGGGGCTGCAGCTCCCCCGCACAGCAAAGACGTATCATTACAGCTATGGCAGTAAGTCTGTCCAGATGTGGAAGACCAACCAGGAGGACAAGGGAGCGACTGTGACATCCCACTATCTGGACAGTAACTTCCTATGGCAGGCAGAGGACACATTTGTAATTGTTGTGAGACATTTTTAAATCACAAATTAACAGACTTATTTGAAGTCTACTCATATATTCAACACAATATTGAAGGCAGATAAGATATAATAATGGTCTTTTATTACTGCACTACCTGCTGGACACTGCAGACACTCGATAGTACACATAGTGGAATAGAAGCCTGGGGAACAGTCATTACAAACAGTGTGATCTATGTTGGGCTCCTTGCCAGGCCCACACTATAACAGATGAACAAAGGAGCAAATAGAAGAAAAACATATGACTTACATTAACTCAAATTTTACACTTTAGCAACCATTTATAATGACAAACTAAACACATCTTTGGAAAGACTTTGTAATTGAAATAGTCCGCTGTAATAGTTACCTTAATAGGAAATCCAGAGGTGCAGACAGAATCTACAGGACAGGACAGACACTGTAGGACCCCCTCAGGAGAATATTGTCCTGGGGGGCATAAAGAGAGGGTCCCATTGGCTGGGCCACATGAGAAACCTGCAGGACACAGCCTGCAGTCCACTCTGTCCTCTGTGCTGATCAGACCTGGAAAACAAGGCTGCAGCATACAGACACGATGAAGACGGTACAATGACAATGATGCCACCTGTCATGCAGCATCAAGCACAGTTGGATCAACCTTTTTCACAGCAAACATTTTGACTTGACGCTGCATTGCAATAATTGCAGAGTCCTCGATAATGTGATCAGTTCCACCTGTGCTTTTCCTATGATGACATGTCAAAATGTTTGTGGTGAAAAAGAGCTTTAAATATGATTCATTGCTAGAAAGAATATATATGCAATTTCTTTAGCTTCAAAGGCAGAAACAAACCTGCACTGTACAATTATTGGAGTTTTAGCCACAGCTGCCTCGTACCTTGCAGACACTGATACTGCTTTTCCCTGTGTAGAGGTTAAATGTTCCTGCTGGACATCTCTGAGGTGCAGATACATTTCCAGGACAACTATACAACAGAAATATATTAATTTATTATCTGTATTACAGTTAAATATCTCACAAGTAGTGATTAAACATCTTTCTTTATTTTATTTCAAAATCTTTAAAGGAGCAAATATGATGTCTGTTTTTACACTTAAGTTGTCATCTATGGATTTAGTACATAGTAAAAGTATACAGGTCAGTAATTTCAAAGATGGTTGATGACTTACAAATGACCGGAGGGACACTCTAAACAAAGCTGGTGGGAGAAATATTTTCCCTCTGGACACTGATCAATGTCTGTCTCTTCACCGAGGGGGAGGTCTGCGCTCCCTTCAGATGATTCTTACATACATAAATTAATGACAGGAAGGGTGTAATTAGTCAAAAGCTTGGACTCTCTAGTCATGGTGGGTTTTTTTCTTTTTCATTATCTGTAACTGTGAAATATACTGTAACAAAATGATACAAATAACAGTCATCGCTCTTACCTGAGGTGAGTCCAGATTGTGTCAGCAGCAGAAAAATCCATGAAACTGAAAAACAGAACAGACGGATTACTTTCTTTGAGCTCATTATCTCTGAATCTCTAATCAAGTCTACACTATGGTTTTTGTGTATTTTCATTCAAAGCTGTTTGGTCTGAGGCTACATGGCTGATTGTTTAAAGGCATGAAAGTGAGAGGCCTTCAGTCACTGAAAGTGAAACATGAGCACGAAATGTGATTCCCATGTGATTGCTCTAGCTGATAATGGTGTGCAATGATGTTCTGTAACTGTACCTTCCACTTTCATAATGTATGAGTATGTGCTAAAGCTAACCTAGATAATGTCTCTGTTAGTGGATCACTTCAATAATTAATGGTACCTGTGTAATTCATTTATGGGTTATAAAGAGAATAAAAAAGGGGAAGGATATGAAAAATCCAATGGATTTCTGGAATCAGTTAAATTAATCCTGAGGGCTTTGTCACTTAAGACTCCTTTTGACTTCACAAGGTGAGGAATAAAAAGGATTGTAGTGGAAAATGATCACCCTCTGTTTAAGCAGAGAGTGAGCTGCAATGGTGCATCTGCAGATTGGTGTAAACCACATTGCCAAGTATTGTATCTTTTTTTAAGCCAGTGTAAAAAATATGCTTTGCAAAACTAATGCATGAGTAACATTTTTTCTATTGTTAGAGTGTACCTTATGTATAATCAGGTTTGAGAATATGCTTTAGTCCTATTTTCAACAGAAACTTGTTTTGCAGGAAGTCAGGTGCAATAAATGGAAAGTTATGAATTATTTTTACACAGCTCTGAATCCTGTCGCATACCACTTCCTGTTTCCTTACCCACAGTTTGGGGCTTATGAGTGGGTATTTCAGCATTCTACTGCAGGTGCAAGCATCAACAGACTACAAGAGCACCATATATTTGATTGTATGCTTTAAGGAAGCAGGAATCATAAAAACAAGGAACAATGATGATCTCAGTCCACTTCACTTTGCTGTTTTTTTGGGTGGCACAAGGTAAAGTCAATATACTCTTTGTTATTGGACTTCATTTTACCAATTAGGTGTGTTAAATAAATGTACATTTATTCTATAATACACTCATCTATAAAATTGCGCTTGTTGTTAGATATAATTATAATACTAATTATAATATAATGGGGTTTTTTTAGTAGTAGATAAAATGTCCTCTCTTTGCAGATTTTGTGAGCTGTGTTAATATGAAGATACCCGTTGACATCTTGACTGTAGCGTTAGGGGAATCTCTAACATTAAACTGCACCTACAATTGCTCTCTTGGATTTGTTCGTGGCTGTTGGAGTAAAGCATCAGACAACTCTGGCTGCCACGGAATGAATAGCAAAAGCAGCTTTTGCACTGTGTCTCTTCATCTATCAAACGTGTCCACTGAAGATCTCAAGAAGAACTACACCTGCTACACACAACATACAGACGATTTTAAACTTCCGCAAAAAACACAGCGTATTGTTTTACTGCAACTTCAAGGTAGATAAATATTATTATATAAAAATCAATAGAACATATATTGTGTATGTGAACGCAACATGTTAACACAAAGCTAAACATAGATTTAATTTCAGTGTTTGTTTTTGGTTTTTCAGGTCAAACAAGTGCCCCAAACTGGACAGTTACCCCAAAGACTGAAACTACAAATGGTGAGGACCTTGTATGTTCAAAAATATAAATCAAATATTCCACTATTGTAACTATAAATTATTTTGTACATTACTTTTATTTATGTAAACTATGTTCTACATTTCTCAGAAACTCTTCCTGCTAAGCCAAAAGATGGAGGTAAGATGGCACTTCAAAGCAGTGCTGAATATAAAGTTTATTTACATTGATCCTGTATGAATTTATTTTTATATCTATATGTGGAACTAAAAGTCCAAGTCAATACTGTTTCCATGTTAACAGGAGAATTTACTGGAATTAAGGTTTTAGCAGCAGTTACCGTTGCTGTGGCCACGGTGCTTGCAGCATTGGCAGTATATCTGTGTCTGAGTCGGGGAAAACAGAGCTGCAATTGTAAAGGTGAGTACAAAATATTACACTGTGAACATACACTTTTTACTGAAACATTACAATATCTCTAAATCTGTTAATATTGTCACACATTCCAGGGGAGCCAGTTGTGTCCAGGTCATGGTGAGGACTATTTAAGAATGACCATTTCAGCAAATCTGAGTTCAATTACCATTAAAAATCTATAATTTTGCTTAGTTAATTTCTTTATCTATTACCATTTCAGCTCACCACTACCTCCTCACGCTGTCCTCTTACCAGTGAAGGGTAAACAGTTTAAATTATCATAAAATGATGTGCAATGCTTTTTTCGTCCAAATGCAACCCTGCCATTCATACCTGTCATATTCCCCAGGGCCACTGTCAACACAGAGTGACAGAGTGACTTTGAGGATTCCCACACCAGGTAAGATGATCAGCAGTCCCACCACACTTGTTTTCTAACTGACGCTGCATCAATGTTTGACAGAGGACTGACAATTACTGATATATTGAATCATTTCTTTAACCCAGATAATGAGAGTGACACTGAGGTTCCATATGCTGACATAATGATCACCGTCCGAGGGGTCAGTACACCAGAGCTCACTCAGGTCGGCTACTTGACCTCTGGAGATCAAAAAGAGGTGAGGGACGAGACTTCAGAGGCAACATGTTTGTCAGCTTATTCTCCTATTTTCTATGAGCAACTCTTTGCAGCCGAAGATCATGTGTGTGAATCTAAAGCTGGTAAATATACGTTATGGTGATCACTTTCAACTGGTGTACAAAGGGGGCACAACAAATACCAAGAAGCTTGAATGAATGAGCAGCTATGCAGACAGTTACAGGTTTATGTGAAGTAAGGAGCTACTGTGAGTTGTGAGCATCAGTCATTATGAGGTTGCCAAACAAAAAACATTAATAAACATATTACATATTACATTATGTATTCAGTAAGTATGGAATTGTATAAATAGAAATACAGTCAGTTGCCGTTTATCAGATATCAGATCTACTATCATAGAGTAAATATTAGAAACATCTCTCAGCAATACAATTTTAAAGCGCCATAACTACAGCCTCCAAAAGGACGATGAACTTGAATCAATACCTCTATAAAACAGTTATAACCTTCATAAATCTTTATGCTACTGCAGTGATAAACTGGCAACTGAAGGGATATATAGTTTACATTTTTTACCTTGTTTTTACCAGGTTAGTTTAGGCATACTTAATTATTGTCTTTGATTTGGCTGTTGGTTTGCACATGTGTAGACTTGCAAGGTAAATATGTAAACCTAGAAACAAATAGGGTTTGGAATAATACAAGTGGTTACTTAGAATACAACACATAATACGACCAGTTTTAATATTTTAGTGTCTGATCTTGAGTTTTTTCTCTGCGTCTCCTCCAGTGGTGGGGAGACGATTCAAGGTCTCACCTCCAGGCCTCACGTTCAGCTGACAGACTGCACTTCCCCCAGCCCAGAGAGGTCAGCCGCAAGATGAGCACCAACTCTGAGTATGCAGTCATCACATATGCCTGACAGAGGTCGTTTTTGCTTGAAGAGGAGAGGAGAGAGGAACACGCGTCTGGGTTTTTTTTTTGTGTGTGTGTGTGTGTGTGTGTGTGTGTGAGAGAGAGAGAGAGAGAGAGAGTGTTATACAGTGTTGGGCTAGTAACTCAAAAAATTTAAGATATTACTCATTACTCATATAATCAAAGTAATTACTTTACTTATTACTCCCTACCAACAGTAATTAGTTACACTACTAGTTTACCTCTCTGCTACTCCCCACAAAATTGGTAATTGTGTCCTTTCCCCCCAAAATTTCTGACTTATGACAATTAAAATCCAGTTTTGTTTGTTAAAATCAAATTAATGGAACATTTTCAGCTACTGAATGTTTCCGTCTTCCAAACTAGTTTCCACCACGATTACAAAAATAAATCCAAGGTAGTGATTGTATTGTTGGATTTCAAATCAATAGAGGGTAACAACAAAATAAATATTAAATTATTTTTTGGAGGAGTAACTGTAATATTATTACTGAAAAGCATTAGTAATTAGTTACACTAGTAGTTATTGGGAAAAGTGATATTATTACTGTAATATTATAACTAGTGATGAGTTACTACCCAACACTGGTGTTATAACATGCTAGTACGCGTTATGTGTCTTTTTATAAAGTGATGCTATTTTATATTTACGTATTAATAGTGTTTTCTCGTGTGCTCTGTGTTTATAATGAACCCGCATTTATTACAAATAAAGCCATTCATGTTTGAGCCTCGTCAGTGTCCGTAGTTTGAACCGTTGCCTAGAGACAGTTATCAACAAAAACACAGTTGCTAGCTGTAACATTTAAAAAAAACAAAGGTGGATACGAGTTGCAAGTAATGTCAGGTAACATGTGTAATTAATTGCTCATGTTCTGATATTTTCTTAATATTTATGAACATATACTTCAGCTATTTAAGTGGTTTCTGGCGAATACATCATAATATTTAACTACAAACGTCAAGGTAACGTAATCTGTTTAAAGTTCCCAGTGCTAGCTATAGGTTAGCTTCTCTCAGCTCCTACGTTACACATCAGGAAGAAAGTAAACTACTGAGAAAAACGTCGACTTCTCCTGGTTAAATATCTCTAGCTTTCACTGAACTTACCGCCCCAGTGTATCCTAAAAAAAAAAAAAAATGTCAGTGCCCTTTTCCAACACCCACCTGCGGGTCCCGCGAGGTTTTGGTGCCATCCTGGAGGGTCTGACCAGAGAGATCCTCCGAGACCAGCCTGAAGACATTCCTAAATATGCTGCACATTACTTCGATGCTCTTCTCAAACAAAGAGAAGGTAACTGCAACTTTACAGGTAAAGGTACAAATGCAATTGTTTGCTGTCAAATAATTGTATTAATTGCTTGCCTGTAGATAGTGGCACAGACCCTGCAGAGTGGGCTGCTAGACTGCAGGATAGATTCTACAACAACCATGCATTCAAGGCTACTGAGGTACTAAATATAACCTACAGTATAGGCATCTATCACCATAACTATACCTTTCCATATTACATATGTGTGTGTGTTTATTTACCATTACACCTTTGTTGTTGCTTTTTCCCCAACAGGCTAGTCCTGAAAGAATAACTGCATCGGAGGCGACCTTTTCCAAGTGAGTTTCAACTTATGTGCTATCAACAAACCAGGAGGATCAACAGGAGAGGGAGAGGATGGACACAAGGGAAAGAATAATAACAAGGGACAAGCGAGGAAGAAAGGAGAATAAAATATTATATTTTCACACTTAATACACAAAGGTTTACATTTTGAGTTGTGTGAGGTGTTCTGTAGACATGGTTGTTATTATTTTCCCTTACTGGCAGTAATGAAAATGAAATATTTAATAATTCAGAAAAATTAAAAAACCCAATCTTAAGAATAATTGCAATTATCATGGCAGCATGACTCAACAGATACATCTGCAATGAGGTTTGGATATATATGCATTAACCCAACCTCATGGAAGGTTTTAAATGCTAAAAAAATAACCAGAGATTGGGATTTTTTTTTTATTTAAAGCAAATACAGAAGAATTGCTTTAAAATAAAAATAGTCCTATGTCAACCTTTCAGACAGGTACAGATAAAGCAAAAATACATTGTGGAGGCCTGGAACTAGCACCAAACGTCAGCTCAGTGTTGAAAGCGCTTTCAGGTTTGCAGTGTCAAAGGTGAGAGGAAAGGGCAGACAGGCATTATGACATTATGACATCAAAACAATAGTTTTGAAGAAATATCACTTAAATCACTATTATCACTTAAATTATTATCATAATCTCTCACCTTTCGTTTTGATGTACTTTTTAGAGAAAAATCATACGAGTCCCAAACTGAAGATGAATCCAGTCATTCAGTAGAAGCCTCAAATCTTCCCACCACACAGCCTAACGTCTCTGAAGAGGTTGATTTAACTGAAAGCACAGGAGGAGAAGAAGAAGGAGAAAAAGAAGAAAAACATGATATTACAGAAAAACTAGTTATTTCAACAGAAAAGGGACTTTCAGAAGAGGAATCACTGAACCTGCCTGTACAGCCAGATGAACTGAGTGCGACAGAGGAGGAGACAGACCCAACAATAACTACATTTGACCCAGCTGACAGGGCAGCTAATGAAAAATATATTCTGTCTGTTCTAGACCAAGACATACCTCAGTCTGAGTTAGAGCCCACTGACTTGTTATCATCAGTCAGAGGGGTTTCGAATGTAGATGTGTGCGCTCAGGAGTTAGAAACAGTAGAAGATGACGGAGCTGATAAACAAGAGACTGCAATTGTAGATGAAGAGATTGTTGTCGCAGAGGGAGAGGAAAAAACTGAAGTTGAACCAGTGGAGGTCTTTCCATATTCTGGGCTAGCTGATGTGGATGTTTGTGCTACAGAACTTATAGGAACAGAGAGAGCAATCGAAGGAACCACTGCTGAAGATACACATGTCATGGATGAGGAAAGCTTGCAACCCCGACTTGAGGAAACTGTTGTACAGTCATCATTGCCTCAGTCTGAAACCCATGAGGACAATCAACAAGAAGCAGAAGACCAGTCTGAAAAAACAAAGGAGGAGGAAGGAACAGAGGCTGAGATTTCTTCTGGGAGAATGCACGGAAGTTTAACTCATATAGAGGGTCGTTTAGAAAGTAATGTCATACAAAATGAGGATTCATTGGTTGAAGTCAGCTTTGAAGATGTTCCAGAGGCTCGGCAGATTAAAGAGGTTGGGGAGAATCAGCCAGAGGACGAGGATTCAGTGGAGCAGACTAAGATATTAGAAATACAACAGGAGGAGGAATCCAAGGAAGTTACATCAGTGGCAACACACCAAAATATATCAGGTTCACAAGACCACAATGAGCCGGAAATGGTTAGAGTTGAAGAGGAAGTTAACCCTGAAGGGGAAGAAATGGAAAGTCAGCATGAAGTATTTGATATAAGGAATGAGAAGGTGGACACAAATGACTCTAATTTAAATGATAGTGAGGATGATGAGCCTGGAGAAGGTGTTAAAACCATCAGCTCATCACATCAGCCCACCTCCGAGGCAGACGAAAAGAACAAGGAGGATGAAACCGATCATGAAAATGAAGATAACAAGAAGATAAGTGAAGGCGAATTTCACCAGAGCAAGTCGAACGACACTGGCTTTAAAGAAGAGGGAACAACAAACTCAGTAGGAGGAGACAAAGAGGACATATGTGAGGTGGAGGATCAAGAAATGAATGATGGTGGTGCTGAGAATCATTTATCACAATTAACCCAGTCAAATATATTAACTGCTGCAGCGGAGGCAGAGAGTGAAACTTTAGAGGCAAGTGCGCAACATCTACCAGAGGAGAACGAGGAGAGTCAGAGACCACTTGTAGAGTCACAGGCAGAGGATACAGTGGTACAAAAAGAGGACACATCACAGGAGAGAACATCAAAAGCAGGGGGACTTGTTGAAGAAGAAAAGATTGATTCTGAAATACAAGAGAAGAGTGATGCAATGTGTGAAGAGAGCAACATCAGTCCCACTCAAAGTGCAGATCAGCCGGCTGCTGACCACCAAGGGGAGGAAAGGCCACTTGAGTCTGAAGGCGACAGTGGTGACAAGGTAAAGTTTGATGCTTCTTCTCAGTGATTCATCGTATTTCACACACGCCTCAACATTAGAGATCTTTTCAATGAGAAAATAGTGCAGACAGTTTAACATTTAGGACCATGACATGTATTATTTAGAATATAATAGAGACTGTCTCAACTCACCACATCTCCTCCACTTTTATCAGCAGGCTGAAGATAAATGTTCAGTTTCAGACAGAGGTGTCTTTAGCTCCGGTACAGTTTGCTCTGGTCCCATTCCTGTCTCAGGTAGCCTATATAAATAAACTTTTCAAGGACGAGTCTGATCAACAGTGGCCCTCATTTTTTTCCCCCTGAACTCTCTAGGGGTAGGTGATTGAAAATATCTCCAAAATAGTTCATTTCTGAGATGACGTATGACGGTTGCTCTGATAAACTTTGAATGTCATCGAGAGGGTCATAATTGAATCAACTGAAATGTGCAGAAATGGTAGTTTGAGTCTGGAAGTTCACCCTGATCTGTGTCTTTGTTCATATACGGGCATGTTCAAGATGCCATGTGAGGACTTCGCTCTGCCGCATGCTCATGAAACTGTAATAATGTGGCTTTGTTAGTGCCAGATCCGCTCTCCTCTTGGGAGCCACCACAGCCTCCACAGATTGAAACTTGATGCTGTAATCTATCATCGTAAAAGACAGACTGAACAATTCGTCTTGTGAATTAGGCCTTTAACATTTTCACTGCTGTCACAGTTAGCCCCGTCTGATTTGTCTGGACCAACAGGGCTCCAAACGCAAAGGGAGGGAGTGTAGGAAGGGGGTACTAAGAATGTTACCATGGTAACCCCTCACCATTCTGCACTCTCTTAGTGTCGTCATGGAATTAATAGGAGATGGTGATGCTGATAGTTGCTATGCACCATCTGTATCAGTAATCTACCTTTAATAGCAGTTCCTAACTGACTGATTAAACAGTAAAACAGCACTTTCTGTATTTATACATACAGTGCTCTTTTGTATAGTCTTGCTTAGTGGCAGAATTTATTTCAGCTGGAACAAAGCTACCACAAACTGTACAATATATAGGCCATCTATTCTAACGGTGACCTAGCTGCAGTAACTCAGATGCCTTGTCTGTTTTTTTATTTAAATTTTCCATCCTTTAACTCACTGCTTACAAATGCGCACAATAATGATCCTCTACTCCAATCATCTCAGCAAGAACTGTCTTTGATACACTAATGATTGGGCTAATATGAGCAGAGTTATTATATCATGATTGATTACAGTTAATTTAATTACACAGTGGTTATTCCTACAAATTAACAAATTGAAATGATTAATAAAGCAAGTCAGCGTAGTGAAATCAGGCGCGAGGCTAATGTAACATATTGTTTGAATAGCTGGTTAGTAAACCAGCAGGAGAGCGTTAATGTCAGAGATATAACTCAGATAAATGGACGCTTTCTGTTTCTCTCCCTCTCCGTCTTGTCTCTGAGGCTGGCAGAGGAGTGTGGGCGGCCATACCAGCTGGGATCAGAGGGATGGAGAGGGCTGTTAGCTCACTCTGCCTCTAATAAATTTATAACACCTCCTAGTGTAAAACAGACCAAGATGCTTACACTGTTTTATTTTCACGCTATTAGTAGAACTTGAAAGTCAGCAATAATTGTTTTATGACCATCTGGCTTTAACATAGTATTTCTATGTTGGTCATCTGTTATTTGTGGGGAGTTTTATTGTTTATTTATTAGTAACACTGCAACTTTTTTTTCCATTTTTATGATGCCCAGTGCATGTGGTAGTCTCGTTGTGTTTTCCTTATTCATATCCAGACTGTATAGTTCCTCATTTTCACTTGTGTCAAACTTTAAACCACACAGTCTACATGTTCAGCCTATTTCAGTTACTTTTCAGGCTTTGCACAGTGAATGTTGAGGTCTGTTACAGGTCTGTAACAGTGATGTGAACACAGTAGGTCAGCAGCCTTAATGAGACTGAAAAGATGGAACACATGCTGTCATGTTTGTAGGAGGTCTCTCTTTCCCTCCCTCCCTCTTTTTCCCTTCCTCTCTCTCTGACTGTATGTCTCTCTCTCTCTCACTCTGTGCGTGAGCGGGTGTTACTGAACATACACTGATTGTTAGTAAGAGCCAGTGAGGCATCTGTATTATACCGGAGACTCATTTAAAGAGAGGGTTTGCTGGGTCCACATAGAAATAGAAAGTCATACTAGGTCAGCTCACCTGAAGACTGAAGTCATCTCTCAGTAAGACATGGACTGTCACAATGTAAGTAGAAGCTTCAGATGAACTTTTTTAACTAGTTCTTTTTTGTAATTTTTTGGTTGTTTTTAATCACTTCTAATTGGGCAATACAGTTTGTTAGTTGCTAATGGTGTACTAGTGTTTGGTTGCCCTCAAACTGCCATGTGTGTGTTGTTGAATTTTGTTCTTTTACTAGAGTAAAGTAAGTTATCTTAACCATTTGAATAATTATGACTCACAAATGGTACATTTTTCATGGAAAACTGACCACATAAAGTCAGGTAGCCCCTAGGATTATATAGTTTAACTAATTCCACACACCTTTCAAGCTAATTTCATCATAAACCAATAATATTACATGGGATTTGCATCAGAATGTTTCAAATCAATTTGTGTCTATGGACCCTGAGGCAAGAAAAACAATAAGACTCCTGAAAAAGGTGTGAAGCAGCAAAATCCAGTGCATCTCTGCTGCTGCAAAAAAGCTGAATTCTGGCTGCTCAGTGAGCAGTCAGACAGAGAGGCTAATGAATGCTGACTGAACAGGTGGGTGGTCACACTCCTACACTGGAGGGGTTTCACTGGAGACATGATGCACTGCTTCACCAAGGTAGTGGGATGACAGTGGGCTCATTCTGTGGGCTGCCTTTGTGTGAAATGTCAATCTGTTATCCATAAGCAAAGCACGGGGTGTAGCCGATATGTGTTTGCCACAGAATTTGAATTGGTGTTTACATAACTCGTCGACAGCCTTGGCGCTATTCCATTGACACTTTATGACAAGCCAGAATATCTCTTCCGCCCACCCCATGTTTCCTTTGGGACAGTGGATGCTGTACTTTTTGTCACTGAATTAGTTGCTGGTGTTGACTGCAGCAGCATTTTCGCTGGGTCATTCTTTTCGGTTCAGGTTGGAGAGCAAGATTTTTATTTTTTTCTCTTTGAAATAAATGTTAATCCTAACACTTTTTAACCATACCTCCAGTTTATTTGAAATAATAAAAAAAAAATTATTATCAAATATATTTTTACACTAATCTTGTTTCTGACAAAAAAAAACAGAATAATGTATTTTGTGTAATTAACAATGATCAGTGATCACGCAATATATATCTGCTAAATGTGCCATGGCTTTTTAAAATGCTTTTCAAAAAACACAGCAGACAATGATAGTTCATTATAAATTAGGCTGACTCAGACATGTTTTTACCAGCAGTGTATTATACAGTATATGACAAGAGGAGAATGGAAGAGAAAAATGGAGGCAATGTGGGTTATTGACCTCCTGAGAGCCCCATTGAAGTCATGTAATAAGGGTGAGCCACTCTGCAACAATCACACATCCCTCGCTGTCCAAAAGAGTTTTGCAGCAGATACAGTTAAAAAAATATGATTCTCCAATGTTCCAGAAAAAAAACATCCTCATATGGTCATGTAATATGCTACCCTTCTGTGATAAACTTCTACTTTTTTGGCCCCCTCAGCAGGAGGACTGCAGCCGGCCCCAGGAGGAGGAGGACATCATGGACATCCCACTGGATGACCCCGAGGCCAACAGGGCTGCTGCCAAGATCCAGGCTGGCTTCCGTGGCCACATGACCCGTAAGAAGATGAAGCCGGAGGACAAAGCAGAAGGGGAGGAGGTGAGCAGCACTGGGGATGTGCTCAACGGCAGCCAGGGGGACACAGGTCAGTGGTGTAGGACCATAAGACTAGGTCACATAATGCCGTTAAAGAGGGCATTATGGCTAGTGACTGTAAGGATGGTAGCAGGGGCTCCCATCAGAAGCTGTAAGTACAGTAGATAACTAAAGGTAAGTGATGAAGAGCACAAGCTGCTTATTTGACCATAAAGACAGTCTAATAAGACTTAAAGTTAAAGCAATTCAAGATCCTATATAGTATAGGGAAGCAAATGTCAGGCTTAATACAATAAGTAAGCATAAGCATAGTTTTATGTTAAGAATGTCCTGCATGTTGTTCATTGAGCATTAGTCTTTGCTTTTAGAGGTGTCCTATTTTAAGATGTTAGAGGTACAATTGTACCTTTATCCAGAGCCGAACATTAATGCAGGAACACAAACTGATTTACGGTTTTACACATTACAACAAGAAACCATTTAAAAGCTATACATAATTAAATACACCTATTAGAGCCCCTTATGGGTTATCCCAAGTGTGATTAATGCAATACATAACTGAGTGGCGCATTTAATTACCCCATAGGTTCCTCCAGCAACAGATGATTGAATCTTTCAGTATTTTTTTTCTGTTAAAGGGGTCATAAATGAATCTGCTTGTAGATGTGTCGTTAAGTCAATATAGAGAAAATATGTTTGCCAGAGTTTAGTTTACCTGGAAAATGTTCCAGTTACATTCTCACAATGGTAAAAATGTTTTCTTAATTTTTATTTCATAAAGCCATGGAGGTGTTAATAGTTTGAGAATTCAGTTATTTGTCAGAAAATGTTTTGCTGTTTTGTCCTTAGGGCGCAAGCAAAGGTTGCATTTAGATTACATATTATCCTTATACAAGCAAAAATCAAACATCTCTTAAAAGGACAATGCTTAAAGAAAAGAAACTCATCATAGTTCAAAATTGGATGAAATTTAAATTAAAACTCAACATATTTACATCCAATGTCCCCACAAACAGATTCCCAGCCCTCAAAATTTTATTAACTTAAAAAAGCAGCATTTTCTTTGGGGATGTGGCTGACACGAGGGATTCTCGTCAATTATCCTCCCTAACCCAGTTGCTGGCTGCCTTGTATCCTTATGTAGGAGATGTATTTATAGCTCCAGGTGCATTAGGTACAGTATATGCTTCAGAGGGCCAAGCAGAATTAATGGACCTGTCGGGCTGGAACAGAGCATTACAAGCACCTCCCATTGGGGGAGACCCCCTTTTCACAACAGAATTGGTTTTTTTTAGCTCATCAGTTATGTCATCCAAGTTCTCGGCATTGCAAAGTACTTAGAAAGAACTTAGAAAAAACAGATATTTGCATAATGGAAAACTTCACCTCCTTTGAAAATCCTCCTTAAGTAGCAACTCAATATCAAGTTTCCTGCAAATGTGTTTTTATAATAGATCCACCCACAACTAACCTTACAGTTTGTGACTGTGCATTCAAGCCTTTCACCTTGACGACAAGAGTGCACACAGAAACTGTTCTTTCCAGGCTGCGCAGTCCATAACTACGCCTTGTCTATTTCTGTTTTTAGAGACAGGAGGATCGGGGGCAGTAGAGAGAGACGACACATCTGTGCCAGAGCAGTGACGCCCCTGTCCTGACCTGGATGAAGAGAAAGAGGGGAAGTGAGGTAGCGAGAGATGGCTGGCATAAGCCGGCTGGGCTGGCTTTCAGGCACACCTTTTTACCCCAGGAGTCATTTTCTTTTTCCACACAAATTAGCAGTAGAAAATGAAGCGACAGTTTTGAGGGTGTGTTATGTGAATTTTTGTGAACTTTAACACTCCTTCTCTGCTTCTCCAGCAGTACGGATGTCTTTGACCCAGAATTTGCAACTCACTGCATGTACTTGTGAAACTTCTGGTAGTGTGCTAGTTTTTAGATGATGATCTGTGAATGTGAAAATGAATGTCCTCTAAATGCTAAACAGGGCTTATTTTGGATGGATCAGTTCATACCATCTGTGTATAAACCTTGTATGCATCAGCGTTAGACTTTGCGTAATTAGTGGCTTAAATTATTTGTTATTTTGCGTTGTTTTCTTGTGTGCTTGTATCTTGACTATTATTTACCTATTTGACTTGCTTACAAAAATGATTAAAACATCAAAAACATCAAAAGAGAAGTAGCTATGTATGTTCTATTTATTCTAAGTTACTCAATTCAGATTGCATTTGCCTTGATTATCTTTTTGATCACATGATAAGTAAGTTCTCTTTTCACCTTTTCAAGCATTTTCTATAAATCTGATCTTCCAGAACAGTAAGCATGCAGTAATTACACTTTTTTTCCAGATGCATTTGGTACAGCTTTACCTTATGAGACACTGGTTCAATATGCTCTGTTGTTGTGTTGGTGGGTTCGACTTGTTTGACTTGTTAAATCAGGTGTGTGAAATTTCATTGTTAAAGATTGCAGAGCCATCATGCTTTAAAACTGATTAAATAGTACATTGCTGAACTTTGCTGTAGAGTCATGGCATTACACTAATAAATCCACCTTAAATATATGGTGAAATGTCTGCTTTAAACTTCATTAATTCAAGTTCAAGTATCTGTTTGTTTCAAACAGTACCTTTTGTGTCATCTGTCACATCCATCTTTATTCTTCAACTGAACGGTAAAGGTGAGATGTTTGTATATTACAGAACATTACAGCAGCCAAAGCTGCTCATTTTCCCTTTGTCTCTGCAACATAAGCAGGGTTGCTAATTGGAGAGAGCAGTTTCCATGAAGCTTCAACAATGTTTTGTTTCCCGTGTGGCTCTCTTGCACAAGGAATCTCATGAATAATTCATCACATATAACTGTGCATTTCTCATATTTACAACTACCAGTTACACAAGACAAATTAATTGACTTTTTACTGATAATAATAGCTATGCGATTAGGCCATTTAAATGAGTACATTGTACGCAGTTGCAGACACTGGATTCATTAAACTATAAAATGTTTTCATCCTACCAACATCATAAACACATACAGCACTGAGTGATGTGTGTACCTGTCGGATATTTTGCAATACATGGTCTACCTTTATTGCAATAAGGCTGTTGAAATCACAAAAGAACAACACAATTTTTGCCCAGGCAGTCTTGTTTGCTTTATGAGAAACAGGCTAGAGCATCTTCAGTCTCCCAGTGCTCCCACTCAGCCCACCTACACACATCTGAGCCATACAGCACTCTGCACAAACTCAAACTGTACATGCATTCTCACACAGGAAAAACACAACCCATACTTTAGTATGCAGATCCCACTCAAGTCACTCATTCTCACTGTCGAGCACACATGCCAACACACACAAACACACACACACACACACACACACACACACACACACACACACAAGTGTCACCAGCTGTAGAGCTGCTCTCAGTGGTTTTGCAAAGCCAGAGTGCAGAGCACTTCCTTCTCACGCTGACATTCCTCCTCCACCGCGCTCTCATAAATATCCTCTATGGGTTTTATATGGACCTATTCTCTTTTCTCCTACTCAGTCCCAGAGGTGCCACGGCCACGTTTTCCTGTCTCTTTAATGACTGTGGGTGAACAATCAATAATCTGCACACCTCCAAACATAGCACAACACCCACTTGGTGCTGTAGATTGAATTCTGAGAGTGAGGGAAAAGGCATTTTTTTCAAAAAAGAGCCTGAAAATCATGTTGATTAGGGTCTTAATCACCACGTGGGTCATGTGAACAAGGTTGTAGCCTAAAACATACCACGGTGGAGCAGAGAATAATAGTTCCGTCCCTGTTACAACTTGTTAAGCTGAACGTGGACTATTTTAGGAGTGGATCATATGAAAGATCTGCTTGGTTGGTTTGTTCTCTTTCTCAGACAGCTTGTCAGTGAGAGAAAAAAGTCCTTGTGGTCTCCTGGGTGATAATTAAAGATGAAAAAGCCAGGACAGACAGCAGGGGGCGCAATTATCTGCTTTCCAGTGGTTATGCCACTGGCCCGCCATCTTAGGATATGCAGTATCTTAAATACTAAGTAGGTTACACAACTTAGCAGTAATGAGAGGATATAAATGAGAGGGCTTTATTGCCACAGCTGCATAAACAACACCCGAAATATCACCATCACTTAGACTGTAAACTAAAGGAAACCAAAAAGATGTAACTGTAAAGATAGATTTTGTCACATCTGTATGTGTGAGTCACATCAGCAGTGCCGTTGAGGACTAAATGTGACAATGGTTTCTGTCACCAAAACTGACTGAGACACACAGGCCCCATCTGTGCTCCCTCTCTCCTTCTCTATTGACTGGAAAGAGTTCCCCTTGATTTAGAGTGTGTTAGAAGATGAGAGGCACAGGGAGGTGCTGCTTTTACTGAGGGCAGAGGTGGAGGGGAGAGGTTCAGCTTTGATGGCCCACTACACAGGAGTCTGAGTCCTGGGAGAGCGGTGGTGAACGGCAGCTGTTCCCACATTCCTGCAGCTGTCTGTCAACCATGCTTCCTCCTCTGCATAAAACCTCCCTTTTTTGTCAAACAAAATGTTCTTAAAAACTCTAACAATAAGCTTTCTGAAAGTGGGAGAGATGACTTATAATCAACTGACTCATCAATGCAAACAAGCTAATGCCTTAATCTCAAAAAGACTGTGAAAAATAAATTATGTTACGTATACTTTATTCAAGGCATCAGCTCTGATACAATAGAAAGTCACAGTCTAACTAACAAAAAATTAGAACAGGGAGATAGGTAAAAGATCTAAAGCGCTAAAATCCTCAAAACAAAATACTGTGTTGTACTGTATACATTTTACAATTGCCTGTCGTTTTCATGATGAGTGCCAGATGTTTTTCCTATTGTTTTACTTACAACATTTAGCCCATGTGATGCACTGCTTCTTCTATTTTTTTCACATGCATGTTGGATATTTAAATTACAAGAAACAAAAAGAGCAAAAGTGTAGTTAAAAAGCCAAAACTTTAACATCAATGCCTGGCCTGGCAGCTTTGCTTCCTTCTCCTCACGCCTCCATCAGTTGACTGTCTTAATGTAGCTTCTACACCACCTAGAGGACAAAATAGGTACAAACACTCTTTTTCATTTGATTCCTGTATTTGTTGCTAATATTAGTATGTATCTCTCAGAAATGTTCTGTACCACTGATCATGCACCTGACAGGTGCAGCAGCTCAGAGTAGATCATATACTTTATGTGTTTGTGTGTGTGCGGGTCAGCACCAGGGTTGGTTGCCAAGTGACAAATTGGGAGTTTTTTTGTGAGGCTCCAGTACAGAAAGGAGTTTGCACAATGTGACAAAAGTGGGCCAAAGAGGGGGAGGTGAGTTGTTTTTCAAACTCAGACATTTCAGAGCTTTAAGTGGGACCCTTTCAGAGCCGCTGTTTTGGCTGAAGTACAGTAATTCTTCCCAGCAGGAATTCCTGCAAAGTAGCTCAACTCAATATTGAATTCAGCTCTTTAATGGTTTGCTTTGAGTGTAAAAAGAGGACAGCGCTTTTTTATTTACAGGAAGCTTTGAAAAATAATAGACAGTTTAAGATAAATAACTGCCCCCCAAAAAAAGCAAACACTATTTTCTTTGAGCTCCTTTCTGAAAAGGCAATGTGGAGTGGAAGAGAGGAGCTCATCTACACTATGTTTCTGTCTCACACAAACACACACACATACACACACACAGTTGGCTGTTGTTGGCTGTGACTGGGGTGCTGTGAGGAGAGTGGGGCTCAGTGTGACCAGGCAGAGGCCAGTGTTGCAGGCAGGCAGGCAGTGGAGAGACTGTTGAGCCGTAGAGACGTGCCCAGGGTGGATAAACCATGCTCACTAAGTGGGAGAAAGACTCTGCCCAGGACACAAGATGAAGGTGGAGAGGAAGACCTCCTCTACAGGCGACAGTTTCACTGACATTCCTCCACTACTGACGCTCTTTGGCCTCCTCCTCCTTCTCTTCACAGGTAAGTCCAAACATTTGTCAGCGTTAGCCAGAAAACAGAAGATAAAGAGTCTCTCTGAGGCTGTGCTGTCTTTCAGATGATGACAGAACAAGTGGATTCCTCTTCAATTCTGACAGTTTATTAACGAGCAAGGAGAAACCTGAGTGGAGCTCATTATCAGTAATTATCCTTTCAATTAACATCTTTTTACAGTATTTTATAGGCTTTGCTTTACTTTCTTTGTTTATGTTAATTCTGTGTCACTTAAAAACAGATCAAAACTCATATTCTTACTCTTTTTGAAGTAAAGTTAATCCAGCTTAAATTAGTTGCAGATGGATTTTTTATTTTTTTTTTTGTCCTTTTGCTCCACAAGCTGGCGGCACAATGGATTCGTTCATGGGTGGCGCTCTATATTGGGCCCCCATCACCGACTCAAAGGAGCCTGGAGTGGCCATTGTAGGTGTGTGAGAAAGTGATGTGTAGGTTAAGTGTGATGATATCAAGTTTTGTTGAGAGCTGATGAATAGGGAAAGGCCTGCTTTTTTTGAGTGTGGGAAGCTTTTGATGAGTTCATTTGAGGGGTAAAGTGATGTCAAAAGTTTATATATGTGGCGATTCTGGTTTTAAAATGTGTGATTTAATTTTCATGACCGTACCATGGGCCCAATTTACCCGACCAGGGCAGTTTTGGTGGAATCACTGGATCCTGTGTCTCCAACTTCACCAGTGACAAAGAGTTTCTCTTTCTCTCCCTCTCTAACCCTCTCTCACTCTTTTTCGAGGGAGGAAACAAGTTCCAACAATCATGCCCTTTGTCTTATCGCCTTGGCAACCCCTGTCAGGCGGACCAAATGGTTACCACGGCAATGAGGCGATGCCCTGCTAACTGCCGCACTGCAAAGAATAGTGAACAGTGCAGACTCTCTCTCCTCCCTCTCTTCTAGGTTGATCTTTCCATCACTGAGGCCTAACAGTAGGATGCCCCTCACAGGCATCCGGCCAATGTTTAGACCTCTATGTGTCCAGCTACAGCTGAGTTATAGGAACCTCCACTGTGAAGATAATAGCTTTGCTATGTTTGGTTTCCAGGACAGGGCTCTTCTATAAAGGATGAAATGTGGCTCGCACTGTAATACCTTATTCCTGTGTCCCTGTGGGAGGTGGAGAATAATTAGGGAACACAAATCAAAATTAGTGCATTACTTGTTCACAATGAGGGGTCGTAAGGAATTCCTGAGGGGAGTTTCTGAGAAACAGATTAGTGATCAAAACATGGGCCCTGAATCAAAGAAAACGTGTGTGCATATCAGTTTGTTTGCGTGTGTAGCACACAGTAAGCTGAGTGATGTTTGGAGACAAAAATGCAAAAAAAATATATATTAGTCAAGTCTGAAACCAAGAACAAAATATCTCGGAGAAAACCCTCAAGAATGAAAGGCCCTTTGTAACAGCATTAAAATGTAATCTTGAACTTATTAAAATAAAAGGAGTTTGATTTGTATTAAATCCTTTATTCCTTACGTGCAAAATGATAAACAAAAATATAATTTATATGAAATCAATTGTTTAAAAAATTATTTTCACCTTATCTGAA